TTTTGACGAACATTTATTTTATCTACGAGATGATATTGATATTTGCACGAGTGAGGGAATTGAACGAGTGCATATATCAGAATCACCGAGTAGATTAAAATGCTATTCTGAAAAAATCATAGGATGTTCTTATTATCCTACACTTACTAATAGTGACCTTAATGTATAATATCATTGAAAAATAAATGTCATCTCAAATAGTTCAATTTGGCGGGAAATCAACAAGAGGAGTATCGTAACAATATCATCCGCATCATCTTATCTTGTCCACATATTGATTCTGCGGAGTATATCGTAACATGCAATATCCTCTGCATATTGGTTTTCCGTATTTTATCGTGGCAATATCCTCAGGTTATTCATTTTGCGAAAAGATATATTAATTTTGAAATTTAATTATACATTTAGTACACTAAGTGTAGGATAATTCATTCTCTTATTTGTCTTTCACTTTGAATAATCGCAATTATGTGTGTGCTTTTAAAATAAAATGTAGACTACCAAATTAAATATGTAAATACTGTGTACATTTACAGCTGAGATTTGAGGGGACAATTTTGAACAGCTACAAGAGTGATATGGGTATAGATGATATACGTATATATGATGGACTTTGTGAGGGATCTGAGAGAGAATCAGAGACTTTATAAGTAAAAATCCTAATATGTTCTTTCTATCAAAAATACATAAACTCTAATTTAAAAATATAATACATCAAATCAACTCAGATGGTGACAGAACATGTTTTGAAACTGAGAATCTTATTTTGAAAAGTTGCCCGTTATTTTTGATTCTACCTTGAATTTATGATCAATGATCTATTCGAACAAACTAAACAGAAAACATTGTATAGTAGGCTATATTCTGTAATCAGTATATGGTACGTTCACACTTGTCAACTCGGACCCTATTCTTATACTCATAGTACATCTCCGGATCCTTGCTGCGTAGATCATAGATCTTGTCCATTGTCCAAGAATGATACGGATGGAGAAGGCGTGGTTTTCCACGATGTCAATATAAAGACTGTGGTTAACTTGAATTGTTTTAGAAGTAGTTCTGCTTCAATTCTAAATAAATTATTGAAATGATAATTAAAGTAAAAACTCTTCTTCCATTAACAACCATTATTTATTTCTATTCGAGTGCGTTTCAGGTAGCTCTTTAGTTCAGTTTAAAGAAAGTTGATAAATGATCCAAAATTCGAAACGTACTCGATATTTTTAATTTAAGGCCTTGTTTACGTATATAAACAAATTAAATCAATTTTCAAAATATCTCAATCAACAAATTGAATCAATGTTTCTGTCCATACGATATCAACTGACTGTATTTAATGTGTTCGGGGACCGAGCTTAAAATAGGGGTTCCAAGTTGACCTTGGTCCAAGTAAACCAGTTACCAATGAATATAATGATACAATTAATATCATGCACATTAATTTATGTGTTAATGTTTTGAGATAATAGTATACAGCTCATCAATATCCTCATCAAATGACATAAACTGTTTTAGTCTCAGTGGTAAATAAGAATCTTGTATCAATTGCTCAATTACATTCATATATTTTCTGCAACTAATGCTATTGATTGTGTTGAAAATACTTTGTTTTACTATATATTGTAAATTAAGTTTTCGATCTTTGAAGATGGACTGTACCTTAAGTTGCTTGTTTTGGTTTGAAGTTAACCTTCCTAGGATTTTTAAACTAACACTACTGGTCCCTTTTGTTATCAAGATGCTGAACTTCAAGAACTGATTTCTTTTGATGCTTGAAACAAGATCCCTTTGAAGAACATATTGATATTCTTTATGATGAAGGCTTGATATTCTGCTTCCTGAACAGGTAGTGTCAGTTTTTGTTGCCCATATCAGGGCATTATTACCATTGTTGTCCATTGCATTAATGTTTGCATTGTTGTCAATAAGTAGTTCCATACATTGGTAGCCTGGTGACCAGGCAGCATACATCAATGCAGTCATCCCACTGTTTTTTGCTGCATAGTTTATATTCGCCCCATGTTCTATTATCAGCTCAGCACACGCCCTGCTTCCATACCACACAGCTAACATCAGTGCCGTGATGTCATCTTTTCTATGTATTGAATGGCTTGCATTGACATTTGCGCCATTGATGAGAAGGATTCTTGCACGTTCCACATTATTTTCCTTACACGCTTCCATGAGTGCCGTTTTACCAATATAATGAGTCTGCTGATTCACAACTGCGCCATCTCCTACTAACTTTCTAAAATCTTCAATTCGGGTTTCCTTTACTGCTTCCATCGGTGGGGTTATGTCATCAGTTCCATGTCTGTTTTCCATTTTGTGTTCATACGTAAGTATTATATTATTGAGAAGAATTAGTATTCAAGCAACTTAGCTTTAAACTAATCTGTATGAACATAGTATTATAACAATGTTGCTTCATTTCTATTATAATACGTAACCCTTTCTTAATCTTAACTTGTCATGCGGAGCCCCATTTGTTTGTAGAATGTAGTAAATGTAAATAATGTATACGTACATAATGTTCATATATTCAACTATTTGTTAGCATTGACCATACTAAACAAGATGCTGAAGTGGGGAGTAGCCTTGCTATATTGAAGCTACTAATAAAACTATTTTAAACCAACTATAAATAAATCTCAACTAGTATACATGTAGCATGTTTAAATACACATGAAAGTACGCTTGAGAATTTCAAGGATATCCACACATCACATTATTATACGACCTCGCCCAATGAAATACATGCAATTAAGGCGCCATTTTTATACGACCTCGCCCAATAAAATACATGCAATTAAGGCGCCTTGGTCTTAAATGGTCTTAAATGCAATTAAAGATTTAGTTCTAGTAACCTAGTAAACACTCAACATTTGAAAGTTTTGCATATTAATAAATGATTGACATTAATTCTTTTGCACCCTAAGTGACATCGCGGGGTGATTGACATCGGCACATTAAATATGGCATTCTCTTATTGAAATAATGTGTCTTTTGTTCAATCATTGTAATGGTCTTAAAATAGCGCAATATTTGATGATTTAAAAATTTAATTTGAAAAATTGTGGGAGATTTGAATCTTTAAGAAATAAAAAGCTGACAACTTTTTTAAAAACGATATTTTTTGAAAAATCTGAAGTAACTTTTTTAAGTCAGGAAAATAGTAAATGAATGATAAACATTTAAAGTACTTTGTATTCTGTCATTACATTGCCGAAAAAATACCGAACGCATTTGATGTCTGTCAAAAGCCTATGGCAGCCGTAAGACCACGTAGCTTCCCAAAATTGAAATGTGAGAAATGTGCAGCATAAAAAATAGGGAGCAAGTATAACTGGGGCTTAAGTCTCAAGAGCTGTTTTGACAGTGATGAATTGCAATGCTGAATATAAGCTGTAATAACTCATGGGGATACTATTGATTTTAGATACGTTTTCTAAAAATTGATTGACCAGTTTCATTATAGGGATCTTAATAAAATATTTTGGGACTATGCGAACATTTGTCACCCTATAAATACAATCCACGTCTGTTGCACTTCGCATTTTTACTATTTGCTTTTGATTTATCTAAATTAGAATATAAAAGGTCACCGATTCGTGACAAGTTAACGGTATGCCATATCTGGATAATTTACGAATTCGATTGTTAAAAATAAATATGTGGAATGGATATCCTTTCAAACTTGAACTTTAGATTAACCACTTTATAATCTTCACTGGTTTAGATATGTCAGGATTTGTAGTTTAATTTTGACTATTGATTTTTTATTTACCTATTGTATTTGATTTGCTAGATAGTACTTTATCGTATGATCTGTAAAACGAAGCCCTCTGATTGGTCAGTTCTTGTGCTGTACCAATCTTTATTGCTACTGAGATTGTCCCCATTGATCATCTCCGTAGCAATACAGAAAATATTGGTACGAAGGGCACAATCTCGGGTTTGTAGAAAAAACGGGTACCGGCTAGTAAATCCTCTATGCTGGGTTCAAACTTGGTACCCGGTACCCGGTCGAAAAAACCGAATACAGAATATTTCCTAGGGATTATCTACTAAGGAAAATATACTGGCCTAGAATGATTTGAAGTGCAATAAAGATATATTGTGCTCTCGATATTCTCGACTTCGTCCCGTGCCAATACAGAATTTCTCGATCAGAATATATCATGTATTGCACTTCAAATCATTCAGTAATATTCTTTAAATCAACAAATAGTCCTACAATAACAGGTGTGATTCAATAAAAAAGGAACAATGTTTGTTACTGTACCTTTTATTTATGAAATGATGACCATAACTGATATCTGTAGTATCTGCCCTTACCATAATATACAGGGGCACCCCCTCTGCAGCAAAAAGTACTTGTTGTTACATGGTTTGTCAATCTTTATTAATACATTCTTACTGTATCTTTTTTAAAGAGGCCCTTTGTCCATCAATTCCTCTACCCTGTCTTTCACATTTGTACATGCATGTTAAGCGCACTTGATATCTGGGTTATTTCTTACATATTCCACTTTCTGATACTTGACCTTAAACAGTCACAAGGTAGCAGACAGGGTACTGAAGTGGCAAATATTGAAACAATGCAGCTTTTTGATATAACGTTTTATTAAATGAAATTTGATGAGTAAAATTAAATCATCTTTCAAATGATATATAAATGACGCACCATGTAACAGTTTTGGTATAGATGGGGGTGCTGTTGCTTTTTTGACACCCTGTACATGTAGATCAAGGGAGGTCAAAATAACAGGGGTGAGGACAGCCAGGAACATGTGAATTGCGTATGCTTTGCTAATTTGCAATCATATTTATTATTTCATAGTTACATGTACATATCAATTATATTTTTACAATTTTGGAATACTAGTTATGATAATATACGTACTTGGTATAGCTTGATGCAGCTTACTCGAGTCTCTAGCCAATTCTCGGCTAGAAGTAATTCCATCTGGAACACTATTGTAAAATTTCGAGTCGGGGTTCGCAAAAATTGACATAATAAGATAAAATTAATACACTTTTGGCTTTTCTGTATATACTGCACTTCTGATAACATTGCTTTAGACATATAGGTACCTAATGTTTAAGCGCTAAGACGTGCACACTGTGTCCAACGGAGTAGTTATGCATTTTTTGTTCCCTAGTTTAAGACACGAACTGTAAAAAAGTACGGATGCGATTCTTCCAAAATGAATAAAACGATGGCGACATTATGATTATTTACATGTTTTACACTTGCCCATATATGGGTACTTGTCAGTTTATGTGCAATTGCCCTTATATTGGCACTTTTCCATTTATGGGCACCTGCCCTTATATATCTTTAAGTCATCTACAGCAATGTCACTTTTGTAATTGTTCAAGATTTCTCCCTCTACAAGCAACTGCAAAAAAGGAACATGTTGGTTTACAGTATATGTTAATCATGGCAATTTTTTCTTGAGAATGCCGTCATAGAATATAGTCCCGCGGAAGACCACTAACTTTTTTTTAGTAATCACCGCTTTTGTGCCGTCGGCCTCCTAGCTGACATTTGGAAAACAAGACAGCGCACTCCATAAATCAAATTAATAAAGTCAACATGAAATGAGGTAACAATTATACATTTTAAAAGAGAAATCACGTGTATATAAACATAGAAATATAGAATTAAACATCAAAAGATAGACTTCGTGTCTTCCTCAGATTTATTCATGTACCTTCCATTTTTTGCTTGATATATCCGACTTTCGAACCGTGAATCTCCCATTCAACCATTTGTTTCCTTGAGATCTTGTCCTTTCCCATGCAAGCAACTGTGTTGGTTCAGTATTTCCTGATTGTGCATAGAATCTTAAGTATCCAACGTGATGATCTGATTCCTCCTCATTCTCAGAATACATGTGGTACCAAAAGTCAACACACATGTTTGATTTCGGTAGTTTAGTTTTTACTATCTTGTACTTCTTTTGATATTGATTTGAAGCTTCTGTGAAAATATAGTTTCCTAAAACAGATGATGAAATGAATATGTAATTTAAAGGTAAGATAACTAGACCGATCGCGTGTTATACCAGGTATTGAGAGTCAGCATATCTTTTAAAGAGATGTTAAGCTAAATTAAACATTAGAAAATAGTCAATGTTTGAAAATATATAATATATAAGCACCGTGTCAAAAGAAACGGACCAAACTTTTACAAAACACAGTATGCTAAATAAACGGATAAATGATCTAACGCTTAAGGAAACGATGTCTGACACCCTCTCTAAAACAGGAACCACTGTTACTATCAAAAAATCAAACTAGGTGTTGACAAGTCAATCAAGTCATTCCGATACATTTTTGACGTTTTTGTCATTGTTTTTATTTTCTTATGCACAGTTTTTTTCTTGGAATATTCCCAATTGTTTATATTTCTTGTTTTTCCTTCTTTTGACACGTGAACCTATATAATTCATTCATTTATTTGTCTGAATGCTCTCACCAGTGCTCGATGTGTGGTCACTTCCAGGTCCTGTTTTACTACTAGCAGTTGGTCCCTTTTGGAGAATCCATTCTAAGGAATTTTCCACATTCTCTAATCCACACCTGCCCTCATCAAATGTGCACTCCCAATACAAAGGGAGATCTGCAAAATTAAATGTAATGTATCAATATGTATTGGGTTGAAGTAACAATTGTTATTTAATTATTCGATTGAATGTAATGTCATGGTGACAGAACCAGACTACGATGTAAGCTAAAAAAATTTGAAATCTGCTCTTTTCGTCCGCCCTTTTGAAAGAGAAAGTAACAGCCGTTACCGTGTCCTGATATTGACGAGTGAAAGTAAGATCTCTTGATTTGAGTAGTGACTCGAGAATTTGTGTAATATACATAATTTAGACATCGAACAAAAAGTACAGTACATGCATACACCTGAAATCATTGTTTTATACATCACTCACCTGTACCAATTGGTTGTGGGGGAGTGGTTGGTTTAAGTGTTGTTACCATTGGTGTGGTGAAATCAACTGATACGACGCCTAAGGAATTAATATAAATATCAAGGTAGACATTATCAATATCGTCTGTAACACAATATACGATGTTAATCTATATCATATGTATCAAATCCTGGATAACATCCGAGAGGACGACATTCGAAATTCTGGACGATGTTACAATACCAAAATTACCAGACTGATCAAATGCGTTATTTTGTAAGGGCCTTCTCATAAAGTGTAAATTATATTTTTGCAGACTTAAATAACAAATATATATATTTGCATTTGAATAGGTCACTTCAATACAAAAAAAAGCTTACCTTGGCAATTATAGAGTTTTCTAATTTCATTGATGTCAATGTCGCTTAGTTGAAGCCTTTGACCAATGTATGGTTTCCCTATAAGTGGTACAATAGTTGGCCACCTGTAATCCTAAAATGTCATTGTAAAATGAAAAGACATGGAGATACGTTTTCGGAGAAATGTACGTGTGTTGTACAATTGTTGTTACAAACATATAACCATCAATTGAACCAATACAAAATCAACAATCGATGCTAATGAACCATCGGATATTTAACTTAGAAAATACAACTAACATTCATTAAATACAAATGTGAGGCAATTTGTATATACCTTGGCGAATGAAAATGCGCTGTAGTGCATAATACTGTCATAATCGTATGGCATATCCTGGTGATCTATGGACGTATCGTCGAATTTGTTGAAATTCCCCGCAGATCCTGTGATTAAAAATATGTTTTATCAATTAAACAGGCAATGCGCTTATTTTAGAAGGAAAGGGACAAAACATTATTTGAGACATGTCACTCACACAGTCAATCAAATATGATAAAAACGATTTAAAAAATATACGTTATTTTTATATTGAGACTAATCTGATACACAATTATACAAATTATATGTGATTAATTTCTGTTTGAATGCTTACATTAAAGTGTATTTCTTCTAGAGATAAATTGTAATCACCTTCTTTTATATTAGTCCAGTTGACTTTGATGTACATATCTCTATCTGCTCTACTCTGCTCATGCCAGAACCCAAGCGTATGTAGCAATTCATGTATGACTGTACCCTTTCTTTCACACCCAGCTCCTAATGATATAGGTTGTTTCCCACCAGATACACCGACTCTAGAGTAACATCTACAAAATAAACATAATATATTGTTTGTATATTGTTATATATTGAATATTTGAGGCATTTTCTTATGCCATACTTATTTTGCACCATAATGAATTTTAATGTCAATTATCATGAGAGCAAATATAATATCCCTAGTAATTTGTTTACATTCGTCAATTTTTGCAAGATTTTACCCAAGTTCGCCTGGATCGTACGATGATATTCTTGTATCTATTTTGCTTAAATTTTCCTTTGGCTATTGGGCATGTCTCGCTTGATTTAGTGATCTGTCTACGGTTACGAGATTGTGTTGCATAAATGTTTCTTAAACATAATTCAAACATCTTTCACGACCAGGATCCACTGTATAGGAGCTATGGGAAGTATTGAAATACCATTGGACCAAATTAAGGACAGAATTCACATACAATATCAGATCGCCTTGCCCAAGTCATTCTCTTTACTTATCTTAATGTTTATTATGGCCGCGGAAATAATCAAGATCAGGATGTATAAAAATACCGACTTGGGCAAGGCTAAAGCTAACAATTTTCACAAACTAGCACAATATACATACCCGCCAATAGGAGCAATTTCTACATAGTTTTCCTCGAATGTTCTTTCCTTGAATGTGATGCACCTTTGACCATTAAAGCTAGTGTTTGCTTCTATTTCCTTCATGGCCGATTTAAAAATCTCAACCGCCCATGTTGCTACAACAGAATAATAAATTGTAATGTTAAGTTATCTTGTAATATATTGTTATTTGGTAGCATGTTTTATACATATGTACTATTTGAAATTTTTATGGAGAAGCTATGAAATTTAAATTCTTCAATGTATTATAGAGTTAATTTCTAAAAAGGTAGATGGTACTTACGATAGACGTCTACAATTGAATATGGAACAAATCCATTTGGCCACCTTGCATCTTTGTTGAGCATTGCATTACGAAACTAAATAAAAATGAATACAATCAGTGATTTTTGTCCTCTATGGAAGGAAATATTTGCTCAATATGTATTTGAACTTGAGCCTTCATTAGCAGTTTCTGCGTTTTTTATATCTCAATTAAATTAATCGATTGTTTTTTCAGAATTGTATTTGATTTGACTTTGATATATAAGTTGGTAAGATAGCGGTATTGACATTGTTTAGTTTGTCAATAGTATCTTACCGTATGTCTTGAAATCTCAATATCACCATACAGAAATCCTGCAAAGTAATATAATTGAAAAACATGTGTTTCAAAAGGTGTTTATCTGTGAATCAATTAAATAACATTTCTAGAAATCTTTTCAAAATGAACTAGATAATCTATTCTTTTACTGACCTTTGCCGCTATTCTCTTCATTTTTGGTTCCATCCGCATCGGTTCCAGAGTTCGCTAAAATTAGATAAACAACTGAAATACGGCGTGTAATTAATTATTTCCTGCAAAATAAGTCTTAATCCTTGATCTATATTGTTAAACTAAGTGTCTTAAGTAAAGATTTAAAAAAGTAGAATACATCTTTTCCATTAGTTATCACAAACGAAGTATTGTAAAAACAGTGTTTTATTTTCAGCAAAGTTTCTTTTAAATTCAGTTTTAATACCACGACAATTTTCTTTTACTACTCAAATGTAATTTCTCGTGGCCTGAAAGGTTTAGAGATCATGTTGAAAATTCAACATTTTCAAAACAAAGCGTCATTGAAACGCCAAAAGAAAAAAAATCAGAGAAAAGCATCAGTTCATTCAGTAAGACATTTACGTTTAGTAAGATAATTGCATTTACTAGGTCTAATATAATATCTTAACTGACCTGTAGAGCCATAGTCTTCCTCACTGCTAGCCCCAGTCGAATTTGTTACAAAGTGTGTATTTAAAATCCAACATATGGATATTAGCCTTAGTGAAAACGTGTTCATTTTCCTGAAAAGTTAAGTCGGAGTTCTCGAGGTATAAGAAAAGAATGTGCGTTAGAAGTATACACAAACTATTTTAAATGAATGTGCAAAATGGGAATGGTAGATAATTGCTATTTTCTAAGAAATTCCAGATTATAATTGGATGACACTCATAGACTAATTAAAATGACGTACGTATTAATTGGTAAATATTTGATTTCATGTTCTATTAATATCAGACTTTTATTGAATACAACATTGTTTTATTTTTCATCTTCTCAATAGTACACCCAATTAATTGAAATACTCCATTATGCGTGGATAGTATGCTCGAGCTCAATGGGGTGTCATTCCAGCATTCACATTATTTTTGTTTTTCCCCGGATATTTGAAAATATATAAATGAATGGAAATACTACGACATATACGTGTGTAGCATATTTCACAACCTATTGATATAACCTCTTAATATGAACGAATTGGTCCTTATATACTTATATATAAGATTTACTTCCATTTGATACCAAAACCGAACAATATTATAGCATGGCATCCTTTAGTCCTGAGTTCAGGATCTGAGTTTAAAACTTCAGCTAAAAAGGTTAAATGTGTGACTTATTGTTGGTGGACTTCATGATGTGACGTGGTGATGTAACTTGGCGATGTAACTTGATGATGAGATCTGGTGATATGACATTGTAATGTGACTTGATGATGTGACATTGCAATGTGACTTGATGAGATTTGGTGATGTGACATTGAATGTGACTTGATAATGTGACTATGTGATGTGAATTTATGATGTGACTTGATAATGAGACTTGGTGATGTGACGTAATGTGACTTGATGAGATTTAAATGATGTGACATTAAAATGTGACTTGATAATGTGACTTTGCGATGTGAATTTATGATGTGACTTGATAATGAGACTTGGTGATGTGACGTAATGAGACTTGATGATATGACTTTGTGATGTGACTTGATGATGTGACTTGGTGATGTGACTTTATGATGTGATTTGGTGATGAAATAGTTAAATTGATTAACCTTATTGAATTTTCATTGTATGATATTAAATGTTATAATATATGAACTTGAAATAAAAATGGTGGTGCGAATTGAGTTGGTGAATTAAAACGATGCAGCTTGAAAGCATTATGATATGAATCTAATTTGATTTTTCATAAAAGTTTGACAAACTTTGATGATTTTCTCCAAATATCTTATGATTGTATGACAATCTACCAATAAATTATCTAAAGATTCACACGATTATTTTAATTTGTATAAATTCGAGATAATATTTTTATTTATAATCACCATTTGCAAAAACATCCCAAATCAAATTACTATAAGATAAATATGAAGAAATTAATTAATAAATCTGTAACTGTGCTTGGGAAAAATGTAGTATGCTGTCTAATTTTCTATAAGCGTCCTCCTGACAAATATAAGTCATTAACAGTCAGTTAATTATCTGAAAGCGTGTGGGTATTTCGTATGAAAAACAATTATTACATTAATCCCAATAACTCTATACACTCCTTGTTTCCCTTGTCCTTGGCATAATCCATTGCTGTTTTATTAGCCCTATCCTTGATACTCGCATCTGCGTTGTATCGTAAGAGAATTTCAACACATTCCAAGTGTCCTTCATTAGCAGCACAAATCAAGGCAGTAGCACCATCACTATCGGTTTTATTAGGATCACCGCCTGATTTAAGGATGAGCTCCATGCATTCTGCTTCACCCATACATCCTGCTAATAGAATAGCACTCCATTTATCATTCTGAGTAGCATTCAAGTCTAAAACAGAATGTTTTAGAAGGATTTCTACGCAATCCCGATGCCCCTTGGACGCTGCGCTAATGAGAGCATTCCAACCATCTTTGTCTTTTGCATTGATGTCAGCTCCTTTTTCAATAAGTAATTCGATACAATCCTTATGGCCCTTTGCACACGCGATGATTAGGCTTGTTTTGTAGTTTTCATCTCTCGTGTTTACATCAGTTTGCATTTGACTCGCATGTCTGATACATTGAACGTGTCCTTCTGTGGCGGCATCAAATATATTTGAGCAACATACACTTGCTGCCGCCATCATCTAAGTTAAGATACAAATATTTGCCTCTCTTACTGGCTTATGTAAAGCTAGCTTGAGACTGTAACATTTTTAGATACTCTGTAAATGGACTATGATCAAAATCTTGAATTTTTATCTTTTGAAGGTTGATTAAACTCGTCATTTCTCTTTTTATAGTGTGCCTGTTTAAATTTAAGATACCATATGGGCGAATTGTTATTGTTGCCCTCTGTCAACGGGTGTTCGTTTTTCATATTTTGCAAGTTATAAAACACTGTTAATGACAGTAAGTTCTATACATACGCCGGTATAGTTATTATGGACATATAAACGCTCTTGTCTCGCTCTACTGACTTAAACGTCTGTATATACACAATGTTTTTTTAATTCTTACTTGGAAACTTTTGCAGAATTTCATGTTTTATTATTCTTGAACCTAAAAAAGAGACCCCTTGAATTTTTAATTAAAAAATTATCACTTTATTAACTACATGTATATCATGAGTTTCAAACAAACTGAAGCGGTTCAAAGCCTCTCGATATATTCAATTGAATGGCTTTACAATAATCAAAAGATCAAACGGTGTTTTCAACTTTTCAGGATGAGCTAAACATTAGAATTAATTTAGGAATTGGTTACACTCTGCTCCAAACGTTAGCATCGTCTTTCCATTGGACCAAATATACATGTAGGGTAGAATGAAACAGTGTATTCACCGAGTCGTCAAGTGGCCGATTAAGTAAATAACGCAACTTACTTTTTGTCTGTTAAAGGAACAAAAGGTACATCGCTTACCTAAGGCCTATGTTAATAAACTCAATTCCTCAATCAATCCAGCATCATGTAATCGAGGAAAAACTTGAAATCAGTGTTGCCTCTTAATTTTAAGGATAGTATATGTTCTATCAAATAGCCTCAAATCGAAAAAAAAGTTTTCAGAAGCCAAATTATTTGTGGGTAATGTGATCAATCATTTTATGGTGAACATCATTTTTCTTTTGCGGATTCTTATTTTAATTTTTGAAAAACTTATTCTCTTAAATTCAGATAATGACGACGGATATGTTTGTCTCTTCCACTAAAATGGTTATCAAATTAACACAAATCAAAATACGTATATCGTGTCTATGATTACTTATTTTGCCAGGGTGGTTTCGAACCCTAATAAAGAAGTTTGCAATTTGCTCGGTTGTGAATCTACTACACTTAACATCAACACACACCATTCTATGATTGTTTCATTTGATTTATTGTATATAAAATTCAGTATATTGATTTTTTAACCAATTCACTAAGAACATTTCGAGTCATCATTATGCAACTAAATCAGGCTATTTGCATATAAATTACAGAACCTTCCAGAATATGGAGTAAATAGAGATGTATGAATGAAAAGTGAAATCTTACATTTCCCAACATCACTTTTCTTAAAGCTTAATTATAACTAGACATGTAAATTGAACAAGTTCAATTTAAGACTCCAGATTTCAAACTTTTTTTAAGCTGAGTCATCCAGAACTTGTAAGCTGAGTCATCCAGAATAAGCTGAGTCAGCTAGAATATAGACATTTAGACAACTCTTAAGAATGTTATCTTCGACCCCATTGGCTTAACTTGGGGAAATCATCATATCGACTTTTCGAGACTTCAAACTGCAATAACTATGTAACCAGAAGTTGGATTGAAATTTGCTTTAAAGATTCTGATTCCTGAGAAAAATCTACCCTTAATTCATAACTCATACGTTAAATTAGGAGAACTTTTTATTTTGACCTACATTTCGGACACCATATCTCAAAAATGGGGCAAAATACTTTCTGACGGCAAAAGGCTAACACTATTAGCACACTCTTTGCTACCTGTCTACAAAATTTGGAAGCAAATCATTTAGGTGTAATGTCAGAATCGCAAAAATAAGGAAAAACTATGAATTTGACCTAGATTTTGACCTAGGCATTTTTGCGTCCAAATTTTAAAGCTAGATAGCCTTCGAGGTCCCCTCCTTTTATAGGCTTTCAGAATATTAAGCTGTACTCAGTCTATATCTGGTATTTGACACTTCAAAAAAATCCTTTTTCTCATTAACATAACATGGGGCACCAAATTTAGCGATTTTTGAGCTTTCAAAACGCCATAACTTTCGAACCGGTAGTCGGATCGAAAGTTGGTTTGCAGATTCGGATTCCTGGGAAAATTCTACTCTTAATTCATAGCTCATATGTTAAATTTGGAGAACTTTTTATTTTGACCTACTTTTCGGACACCATATCTCAAAAGTGGGTCAAAATACTTTCTGACGGCAAAAAGCTAGCACTATTAGCACACTCTTTGCTACCTGTATACAAAATTTTGAAGTAAATTATTAAAGTGTAGTGTCAGAATCGTAAAAATAAGGAAAAACTATGAATTTGACCTAGATTTTGACCTAGGCATTTTGGTGTCCAAATTTTGAAGCTATGTAGCTTTTGAGGTCCCCTTCTTTTATAAGCATTCATTATGTTAAGCTGTACTAAGTCTATATCTTGTATTTTACACTTCGAAAAAATCTTTTTTCCCATTGACTTAACATAGGCACCAAATTTAGCGATTTTGAGCTTTCAAAACGCCATAACTTCCGAACCGAAAGTCGGATTGAAATTTGGTTTGCAGATTCGGATTCCTGAGATTATTCTACACTATTCTACACTATTCTATTACATAACTCACATGTTGAATTTGGAGAACTTTTTGTTCTGACCTACTTTCCGGACGCCATATCTCAAAATCGGTAAGAGTAATCAAAAATCTGATGGCACACTTATGAAAGGGCTTTTTCTAAGCTATTTGATGAAAGTAAGATGAAGGAGTTAGATGAAACATGTAGGAAGATAAATGTCAGAATGTTGAAAATGTAGGACATGACCTAGTTCTTGACCTTTGACCTAGATAAAAATTTGACCTAATTTCCCAGAAAGCCAGATACATTCCCTAGTCAACCATGTAGGTTGGATTAAGTAAGATGTTATAGTTAGAGAGAAAATCTGTTAGGAGGAAGAAAAAAAAGAAGAAGAATAAGAAAACAGGCAAAAACAATAGACTCCAGATTGAAAATCTGGAGTCTAATAATTATAGTAAAGTATTAATAATACTATTCTAAGACCTCTCTAATTGATAATGAGTATTGAAGAGGTATTTTAATTGAAATGAAGTATGAATGGTATGGAAAGTCTTCATTTAGTTATCTAAAGAACGAATCACACTATAATACGTTTCTTTACATATATGTCCCCATCCTTATCTTAGCCTATGTGTTTGTTTTTTTATCATTGTCATATTGGAAACTTCTCGACACATTATCTACTCCACTGTTCCCTTATACTTTAACTAATGTGTATATTTATCCAGTTTAAGTGTTTGTAAGCAAAGACTAGATTGTCAGATTATGAAATTAATAGATGTATCATCATTTTTATTCTACGTCATTCTTCAGTAAGCAGACTGAAAGGCAGTTTGTTCTTCAACTGAATGGGGTCAATCATCCAGGATGCGTCATGGACATTTCCCTCGATATACTTTTATATCATCTACTGCAATATCGCTTTTGAAGCTGCTCAAGGTCTCCCCTTCAATAATCAACTGTAAAGTAAACAATCATAAAATATTATTGGTATTTTTCCTAAACTATATCAATTATACTCAATCTAGAAAGCATTAAACGGTATAACTTCAGAACGACTTGTCGACTTATTGCTTGATATCAATGTCGATACAAGCCTCATTTTCTTTTTCGGACCATTTTGTAGATAATTCGTTGATATTTCCGAACTAAAGAAGGCTTTATTCAAAGTAAGTTGATAGTGCTAGAAACAGATCGGTTGTTAAATTAGAAATTTTGATATTCTAGGGGGGTGTTAGATGTTTCAGGGACGCCAATGGTGACTTCTGTAGCCTAGACATGTGTTTAACTAACTGCATTTATGTACAGGTCTTTTCAACGTACATTCCATCTTTTGCTAGATAAGTCTGACTTTCGAACCGTGAATCTCCCATTCAACCATTTGTTTCCCTGAGATCTTGTCTTTTCCCATGCAAGCAACTGTGTTGGTTCAGTATTTCCCGATTCTGCATAGAATCTTAAGTATCCAACGTGATGATCTGATTCCTCCTCATTCTCAGAATACATGTGGTACCAAAAGTCAACGCACGTGTTTCTTTTGCGTAATCTACGTTTTACCATCCTGTATTTCTTTTGATAGAGATTGGAAGCCTCTATGTAAACATAAGTCCCTGTAATAATGAACCCAAATTTTCATTAATTTTATTATTTCATGAACTATAAAACATAAGTATCAGTTTGCATTGTACAAAAAGTACACAGCGAAGTCACGAGGAAACTCTGAAAGAGAAACCTCGAATTTGGCAAAAATGGTGGAAATTAGGTTCCAAACACTATTAGCAGGGTACATGTTGCACCTTACGACACATTTATGAGCTTAGTTTATATGCAGACGTTTTGTGGAACTTTATCTAAGGATGAAATATGCTTCCAATTTTAGTAAACTGTAAAATTTGATAGATACGTTGTCGTCTTTTTAATGCACTCTTCATATTAGGCTTACCATTGCCAGATGTGTGGTCCATTGTAGGGCCAGTCCTTGAACTAGGGGTTGGTCCCCTTTTGGGAATCCATTCTAGATAATCCGTCACATTTTCTAACCCACACATGCCCTCGTCAAATGTGCACTCCCATTTAAGAGGTACATCTACAAGAATAAGTTCTGCATATTTTGTCTTGGGATACATTAGTTCAAAACCACAGGATGACAGTTTTGAATGAATTGGTCGAAAATCTATGTTTTCTTTATTTGTTTTTAATGTTTTCATATACAAGTTAATGTATATTTACCGGGTCCGATTGGAACAGGTTGAGTTGTAGGTACAAACGTTGTTGACACTGGTGTTGTGAAGGCAACTGACACAGCCCCTATGTAAATACATAATGATATAGTTTGTGTTTTTGTTTTTAATCTATATATGGCATGTGTAGCTCTTCATATATACAATATACCCTAAATCCACTTGAATTACCTCTAATGTCATCAATGGGTCTCTACAGTCGTCATATCAAAGCATTGGTGTGTTTGATTTACAATAATTCTATTATGTATTGGATGGTGATATGAATCTGACGAAAGTACAATCTAAAATCACGAGTATTGCATTTGTCATATGCAATGCCTAAGTTGGGTGTTTAATTTACCTTGGCAGTTGTAGAGTTTTCTTATTTCGTTAATATCAATGTCACTAAGATGTAACCTTTGACCAATGAATGGTTTCCCAATCAAAGGTATAATTGTAGGATATTTATAGTCCTGAAATGAGACATAAATAAATCAGGATAAAGCAATAAGATCATCATCAGTCACATTATTTCTATCAGAAAACACGTTAGAGTTACTAAAAGTGATACATATATTGTATTCTCTTTTCATAATTAATTTTTGTTTTCCACAATCGATACAATATTAGTCACGTGCAGCCATTGTGAAAAGCAGTGTTACATTTGGCTTGATCCAGTCATAAAATTTCATCGTTGTTAAACATTTTCATAAAATATCTTGAAATGGCTATATGCGTTATACGATACAATAAGAAAGGGTCCAAGTTGTAAGCTCCAAAACTCATACCTTTGCAAATGCATATGCGCTGTAGTGCATTATGCTGTCATAATCATAAGGCATGTCCTGGTGATCTATGGAAGTATCGGCGAACTTGTTGAAATTCCCTGAATGTCCTGGGAAACATATCACAGTTCAATTATTGCGTTTATGTTCTTTTCAATGTAGAAATAGTAAGTACGCATTTAGAGAAGTTAAAACAGAAAGTTATTCATTACCATCTCTTATATTAGTCCAGTTGACTTTGACGTACATATCTCTATCTGCTCTACTCTGCTCATGCCAGAACCCTAGCGTATGTAGCAATTCATGCATGACTGTACCCTTCCTTTCACACCCAGCTCCCAATGATAGAGGTTGCTTCCCACCAGACACCCCAACCCTAGAGTAACACCTAGACACAGAGAATATAACTACTACTATAGTCTACCTCTTTGTCTTTATATACGTAATCATAAAAATAAGAAATAATATATTAAAGTGTTAAGTAGATTGTACATAGTGAAAATTTTGCAATTGGTTGTACTGTGTACATGATGGAAAAATCAAAAGAAAATAACATACCCACCAATAGGAGCAAGTTCTACATAGTCAATCTCAAATGTTCTTTCTTTGAATGTGATGCACTCTTGACCATTAAAGCTAGTGTTCGCTTCTATTTCTCTCATGGCAGATTTAAAAACATCAACTGCCCAGGTTGCTACAAATAACATCATTGACAATTACTCAGATGCGAGTAGGTAGTTACCAATTTCGACACCAGGTGGCTGAGTCGGGGGAAATAACATGGCAGGGTATTACAAAATTCCCCTAAACTTGAATATTCATCATTTTTAGTGGTTCACTTTTCACATTTCCCTTGTGTATGTGATAGTTATACAAATTAAAATATGTCCAGTGAAAGAAAATATTATCTGCCCAACACAAGAAAAGATATTTCACTTTTTGTGGTTTTATATCATGGGGTCTATGGGGAATCTCCTCGACCTAGAAGTCACATTTTCAAAGAAAATTGAATTTTCAAAGTTGATAAACTATTTTCAAAACCACATTTCTAGGTGTGATTTTACATGTAGATTCCAAATATGATATCAGTTTGACTGAATTGTGGATTTTTAATGACGTAAATCAAGATTATTTCTACTCGCATCTAGACTATTAAGGCATTGTTAACTGTAATTTTGAAATTACAATAACAACATGACCAACTCGAGTTGGGACGATGTACAATCAGATGTATAGTGTTATAAAGTTTCCAATACTTACGGTAACTACTGACAATGGAATATGTTACCACTCCATTTGGCCACCTTGCATCTTTGTTCAACATAGCATTACGGAACTAAACATAAATATGTAAACAAAGTTTGCATTGATATATTGCAAACATATCAAAGAACAATATAAGTTGTACTTTAGGCTACCTTCACATTATTCATGAATATTATTCGACGTATTATGTTTAGAATTGTCTTTATCAGTTTATAACTCAAACAATTTATATGTTTTCAATTTGTATTTTGAAAATGAAAATCTATTAACGTTTTGATTTTTAACAATCTAAATAATGTATATAATCATGAAAGTAGAAATAAAAATAAAGTAGTTTACCTTGTCTGGTGTTTCGGAAATATCAATATCCCCCTCATATTTGCCTGAAACAGATCGATGTAGTTGGCATTACCAATCAAGATTTTAAAGTGAACCTGGTGGAATTAATTTCAGTTGATATATCAAATCGTACCTGTTGCATAATACATCCAATTACTGACCTTCCAACTCATCTGGAGGTGAAGATTTATGTTCTTTTGTTTGTTGTTGTTCTTTCTCTACAAAAATAACTTCTGCATATTTATGTTTTGGTTATATGTGGTGATATTTTTGTATTATAATTCTTTTCGTATACATATTACCCAGATCCAATATGGAAGTGGTTCGAATACAATACAATACAATATAATACAATACAAAATACAATACATACCAATTGAAAAGGATAGAAACATTGATTTATTCAATATGCAGTGTATGATAGTGAGAATCCAATTTCCCACATTTTCATGTATAGCATCCTTGTATCATATCAATAAAATCATTGAAATATACCCATTGTGAAGCCCTTACACGGAATACATTTTTAACAAAGAAAATCTTTGTTGGTGAAAATATATTGATATCCTGTAGCTAAACATCTCTTGAAATAATGGGAATCGAATTTTCTTTGATATTGATACATAATTTAGCACCTTATTTTCTTTAGAATGTGAAATTGGGTACATTTACCTTTTACATTTACCTGATACCTATTTCAACCCTTTTTATATGCAATATTTTAAGAAAAACTGAAGTTAAATGTGTTATTACTTCATCTAGATAAAATAAAATGGTTTAAAAATATAACAGCATTGTACATGCTGTAAATTGATAACTGACCTGCTAATTCATCCGATCTAGTCGACGCTGGCTCTTTTGCTTGTTGTTCTTCTTTACATTTAGCCTAAATGATACATTAAACACACACTGTTATATCGGAGAACGTTGTTCATTTTGAATATGTATTTATTACCATATCTTTAATAATTATAGAAAAACGTAAATGTGACTTACCCCAGAGAACGTAGTTTCAGCATTTGGTACCAAAATAATGAACAAAAAAATCACAACCAGTTCAAAAGTGTTCATTTTTCCTGTTTGTTAAAATTCTAGTGAAAGTCTAAAGAAATATTTCTTCTTTTTAAATGGAAGTGATAAAAGGGGATGGTATTCAATTGCTTATTTCCTACTTGTGTAAATATGCTAAGTATTAATTAATTGAGAAAGGTGTTAGATATTTACTCAACTCGTGCACGAATACAGGCTTGGATTTTTTCACTGGGTCTTCGGAAAAGAAAAAACAAAGGCCGATATTGGAAAAGAATTTGTCAATTCATTTTACACATTCAATATGAAATGCTAATTTTTCTCTAAAAGAATGTAAAATATTGTTGATTGAACTGTATGCATGTGTCCAACAAAGCGGGTTGGAGCATTATCCTATAACTTGGGTATCCTAGGTGAATAACCTATGTTCTGTTTTCGTAAATGTTTGCTCTGTTGATGTCTCTGTATAATTGTGCCTATTGTTCTTTTTGTGTGTGATTTCCAGCTCTTATGTTTCTGGAGACTTTCCCTCATTTCCTTTTCTGAAGGGAATGGGATTTCCTGCAAAAATTTAAATCGATACCTTGTTAAATATTTTTTAGAATTATCCACATTTTCACATTATATTTCTGTATACATCTTGATTAAAAGGAGTGGGTGGAATCGACAGTGACGAGTTTAGAACAAGTTTCGAAAAATCTGTCACAAAATAATACTATATTTTATGCTCTAGGCATTCCAGGAGGTCCAACAGTTCTCACTTCATTTCAGGATAGCTTTCCTAATTTTGAAAATTTTTGCATGGAAACTACAAAATTTTGAGCTTTTAGTTTTGATCAGATATCTCAATTATTTTTTCAGAAAAATTAAATTGGGAAAGTTTTTGCACTCTTGATCCCTTCTACTTCCTTTAATCTGTCATCTTTATATTTTGCCAGTCATAGATTGGACAAAAAATGAGTCTATGAATTCATTGAATCTTAATGTCGCTTTATAAATCTTCTTGAATATTGTAAAGTAAAGTAGTTGTTATTCCTTTTATCAAAACTATTTACCAGCATTCTCAGCTCCTCCATGATATCATCATCAGCATATCTCAAGTAGAATCGTTTTGATATCATAAGGCAGTCTGCACCATTACTGACTAGACTAAACTGGGGTTGATTCTCAAATATGATATCAGTTACACCCTGCATAGCATAAGAAATAAATCATCAGAAATTCTTAGAAATAGTATAAAACTATCATAGATGTTCAGTCGTAATTCAGTTACTTAGCATATAGCTTAAGAACATGTGTAAAATATGCTTACAAAATATTGCCCTTTCTCTAGTATGCCCACCCTAATGTACTGCGATGGTATCAATACTGGTTTGTCATTGTTTGTAAAATTTTGAACCATATCACCGCTGTCGTCTAGTTGGAGTTCGTCTTCTTCAACATTATCTTCAGCAAGCTCCGTGATATTTGGCAATGTCATGATGAATGGTGGGTGCTTCTTTTTCTCGTAATCTGTTCTGTTAATTCCCTGCCTCCGTTCTCTTTGAAGGGATGTTACACGGAAAGCCTGGAGTAAAAAAAATTAGACTCGATAAATTCTAAAATTCATATTCTAGCTCTCTTCGTCATAAAACTAGATTATAAAAATAGTTTGTGTTTTCGTTGAGTTTTGTTTAAAAATATAGATTCCTGTTAATCTATGATTGATTTCTATATTCAAACAAACTCACACCGTGATTATCATCCATTGTTGTTTTTGTCTTAGGCGGTGATGTCCCCAGTTTGTCGACCGTATTTGGAAAAATACTGGCTCTCCTTGGCAAGATAAGTGGCTTAACATCATTAGAAAGTTCTGACGTATGATCCATTGGTTCTTCGTGCTGGTTTATTGGAGGAAGTATAACATTGGCTTTGTGATGTTTTATTATTGTGTCATAGTTTATAACTCCAAGTCGATCATCAGGATTATGATATCCCGGGAGCCTCTTACTCTGAAAATTATAAATCGTGTATAAACAGTATGCTTTTTTATTAGATCTGTCATAACCAATATTATTTAGCATTAATATAAATATATTAATATTAAGTATGATTGTTTACGCGTTAATTGTGAGAATGATAATAATGGTTAATACATATTTTGATGCATGCTGTGTGTGAATTAATATCTATCTATTTGGTACATATACCAAAAGGGTTTTAAAAGCACTAACCAGGTATTCATCTACTTCATATGTGTGTTTGAATATTGTTGGCAATGGTTCGCGTAGTTTAATGTTGAGGTTTTCTTCTGATGTGTGCGCAGTCTTATGAATCATATTATCTAGCGATCTTTTACTATATTTTGGGACCATTTGTTTTGTAGATATATGGTTTGCTTCGTTGTGTCTCATATTGCTTCTTTTTGTTCGCTTGGTTGTGTTCTGGATTGTGTGAATAGAAGGAATATTAGGTCCGGAAAGGCTGTCGATCTTTAGTTGTTTGTAAATGGAAAGGCTTCCCTGTAAATAGAATATATAAGAACAATTATACCGTCGGTGTACATAAATGATATATTATAAGTATACAAATTCAGCGAATAAATATGTGGATACGTGCCAAAGGGGAAGACTAATGTCTTCCAAAACAGAAAAAACACATCAAACTGTATAACTGTATAACTGGTCATAAAGAAAGCAAACTCCAAATATCCCAAACTAAGGTATTGAATGTTTAAGGTAACAATTTCTTATACTCCTTCTTGGATATTTATTCTCTTGTTCAAAACATTGAACTTAAGGTGTATATATGTTATGTATACTTACTGATTTGACTACATATATCCAGTCTGAAAGACTACTGTCCTTCACAAGCACCTTGCCACTTCTAAAAAACAAAGGTCGAATATAAAAATACAATGACTACAGTATAAGCTTTATATGTTTTTTCATGATCAGGACTGCACATATTTTACATGTTATAAGAAGAAATTCACTCTTAATATGAGTAGCATTATTTTACTATTTAGTAAGATAATCTCGAAAGTTTAATAGAAATTGTATAGTTACTATGCAACAAAGAATATGTAAAAGTACGATATTGTATGGTTGGTATTGTCTCGATGCTAAATTTTGTACTCGCTGTGTATGGCAGAAGTAGCATTTTCCCTTTAAAATGTGTTTTATAGTTACTATCATACTTAAAATGCTTGCACGTGCAGACATTTGGATCACCATCAATCAGCTTATCAAGAGGCCAGTTCCTAAGAAATCGAATCGTCCTAAAACCACACAAAAGACGTTGATTGATATGAAATTACCCTTTTTCCTATTAGTAAGGGAAGTTACATTAATTATTTCATTTAACTACTTATTTTTAATTTATATTTTGAGATAACATTTTTAATTTTTCAAAGAAGCATAAAATTAGAAAATTACCTGAGAAATTCAACATCTTTTATATTTGCCATTATTCCTTATAACCACGGCTTCTCACTGATTCTCCTGAAACTTTTGATTAATCATTATAAATTAATTGATTAATTAATTGCCATTATTTCACTGTTTGCTATTTGACTAACGTTGTCATAGATTCTCCTTAGTTTATTCTAGCTATTTTTGATAATACACACATTGCATGTGCTTACATGATTTAATTAAGAGTTTTATATATTAACAGTATATATACCAATTGATCTGTTGGGGCATACAATACGTACGTAGTAGCTGAAAGAAGCAACCAAATTAAGTAGCATGTTCTATCGATCAAAATTATTGACTTGCTTGCAATATGGTGGTTTATGAACGTAGTGTCACTTGCATTCATACTTATAAAACCAACTTACAAGAAAGAACCTTGAAAAACAATAGAAAATAAGGTCCACAAAAAATCTAAAACAATAATCATGGAAATACTTTATGTGACAGAATTATTATTTCTATCATTTAGCTCTTATCTATCTTATTTATCGTATGTGTCCTTATTTTATCTTTTAAAGCAATTGATTACGAGGACAAAATCACTATTTCTTAGGTGTTTTTATAGAGTAATTTTCCAATTTATTCCAATCCTCCAACAATAGTTCTTTTGTGGTGATTTAATACAGGTGTGGTTACCTGGCGATACACCCTCTTCCATAAGTTTTGAAACTGGGAGTGGCATTGGATAGGGTTTAATAAAAAGCATATTTATGATTCAATATGTCCTCCTAAACTGCAATAGGGGAGGAATATGCTATACATTAATTCGTTAGATTCACCCAATATAAACTTACCAGTTGTTAACACGTGGTTTGATGGGTACATTCAGGTAGTAATACTTTTAGAGGGGGTGTAACTATACGTGTCACTTTGATTGTTATTCTATTATGCTGAAACAAGTGATAATTTATCAGCAGCATGAGGATGAGTAATACACGAGGCATAGCACCAAAATCAAATGCAATACACTTATAATACGCAAAAAGTCAGAGATTATTTTTGTCCATTTACTTAGATTAATTATCAGAGAATTATAATTAACTTCTAAATAATACATATTTAAGACCAATTATAATTATAGAACTGTTTATGTAGTTTTGAGCACTGTTGTATTTAAAATAAAATGTTAACAAGTTGACGCATAGACATCTGAAATAAATGTTCTTACTTGCAATTGATCCATGCTGTTCGGAATCTACATCATCTTGATTCACAACTGGGGTGGAAGTCGAAATGAATCTTCTTTTGCCCAAGTAGATTGGTTTGATCGGTATATAAATCACAATGTACACCAATGTAAATTGCTTTTCCCTCGTCCACACACCATAGCCACTATGCAGTTGAGTCTTAACTAATATTTACTAATTTTGAAAACGTGAAAAGCTTTTCACGTTTATTAGTTTATGTTAAATTAATCTCTTTTAACTCAATACGATTATGAATTAATAGTGTATATTGTATAGAATTATTGTTGAGAATTAACTTCGAAAATCAAAAGCTTGATATTTGTTATCAAAGACTTTCTACCAAGTATTCAATTAAACCTGATCGTGGATAACTGCTTACAAGAATCAAATGTTTACTAGTAGTATAATATATGTATACCTGTGTTAACAGGGGTGTTTAACATGACATTGTAGTGGTGTTTTACATGGTGCTTTAAATGCGATTTAGAGGAATGTAGTTTCTTTTTGATCATGTTACCTAGCTTTGTGTTTGAACTCTTTGTGAACATTATCTTTATGTGTATCAGTTTATAAAAATGATGTATCTTATTATAGTTAATATGTTTTATTTAGAATTTTCATTTCATCATATTAACTAGGTATACAAACTGCGACTTTTGGCTTCTAAATGAGTCTTTATTATATGTTCACTTGTTCTGTCACTGTAACCTGTTTAATTATCTGTTTACCATGCATATGACATGTATTAAACGATAGTATTGAAAGAGGAATATGCTACAAGATATAAACATTGCAATATTATGAGTCAACAAAAATTTCGCATGGCTTAAAGTTTAATAGTATATAAGAATACGGTTTTGTAATTTACGATGTACATTTGAAATATCTTGATGTCTTGATGGTTTTGGATTCAGGAAAGGGCATGCTTAGAAGAGATAAAGCAAATTCGACGTTCAATGTGACGTATGAAGTTAAAGCAAATTAGACATCATGAATCAAGCTGTCCAAAAGAATTACCAAATAGTGGAACTAACTATCTAAATAATATTGAGGAACATGTACACATATGGGACGCAAAGTGACATGAAATGCTAATAGATCCAAGCACTGACAACAATATGTTAATTTATAGGTTATCTAAGATGGCATCGCGATGCAAAAAGATGTATAAGAAAATATTTGCCGTACTCATAATTTTAGCATCGTGCTTTGCTTTATATAGAACGATCTTCAGATCTCAAGAACATATCAATAATTTCGTTATTCCTGGTCCCCAAGGATCAATTCGAAGTACGGGTAGGTTGTCTACATAAAAAATGCTATAAGGTTGAATTTAATGAAAAGTTGATTAAATCAAGTGTGTATACCTACCTACTTCACTTTATGCAAGTTACTTCATTGATAGGACAATATATATATACAATATACCATAAAATCATATTGTAATATCATAGCACTTTACCTATCATAAAAAAGAATGAGGAATCAGTTTTGTTAAACATTTTATTGACTACGATGAACACCCAATACTGCAACATCGAAACCAGTCCACACTCGACAGCTGGGATGGACAACTAGACAAAATCCAATGGAGTCAACATCCCATTAACAAAGAAAACCGTCCACATAGTTTATGAAACACATCAAATTAAAATAAATATAGAAATCTTCAATGCGCAAAACTTCGAATTAGATATTGCGTACAATTAAATATGTAATACATTTCAATTTGTTTGTATCTTGATTGTTTTTATTATTTAAATTGCAGGGGCAAAAGACCTTGAGATATGGATAGGTACGTATATTAAATATTGAGATTAATCACATGAATGCCGACTGATTTCAGAAAAAATAATTTAAATGGATGTGAGACAGCCATCTTTTTATCCATCATATAACAGTTTCATAGTTGTGTGAGAATAGATTTGACTTGTTTTCTTTTGTAAAATGGTGTACTTCCGAAGGTAAAAGGAGGTTGAGGTTAAATAATTGGCTATATACTTACTTCTGTATGTACGTATGTCCTCGATGTATACCCTCTACTCTACCGTATTCATAACTCTTGTAGGTGGTCGTGTTTCATTGCGCTCTATGTACAATGGTAGGTTCCTTAGTGTACAAGGTCCAGCCACAGCCTGCAAAGTTGTTCTAGCTGACCAGCTGAATGGGGACCAAGAGATTGTTCTGGATGTCAAAGAGAACGATGTGGTTGGAGTCTTGAATTATACAGAGACTGTTTACCTGGAGAGTCGGAATGGAAATCATATAAATGTGGCTGGTAAAAACACTTAGTTCCATTTAAGCAACATGTTGAGATTTTATCATGAGGATCTGAAAAATGAAATAAAAAATATATAAACTTAAAGGAGCAAAACATGCTCTTATAATGTATAATATGTCAGCTTCATCGGTCTTGTCAGCCAGATTACGCAATTATTCTCCATCATCATCTTTAGCATCTTTTGCAGTTCGGCATACACGCGATATTTTATCACTTTAGCCATTGAGAATATAGTATGAGTTCCTCTTAACAGAATGCCTCATTCTCCCAGAGATCACACAGGCTGTGGATCCTGCAATGAGTACGTATCATAATAAGAAATTATTGCAGACGAGTTTTTATTATAATTTAGAAAAGGGTTCAGTTGAAGCTAAGTTGAGAGACAAATCTAGTTGGCAAGGATTTCAACTGAGGACTACACCCTCCAGCAGCGGTGCAGAAACAATGATGGAAAAGGATAAAGTTTATATATATAATATGTGAGTTGAACGATGCGAAAACAACAAGCAACCTAAACTTCACATATTAAATATCTAAAACATAACATCTAACATACCTTCATATCATAAGTAAAAGTACTTCTAAACGGGAAATGCCAAAATGTGCTACATCAAACAAAAGAAAAGAGAAAAAGCAATGGATAGTATCCCCTACTCTCACCATGTTAGATATAACCAATACTTAGATTAGGAATAATATGCAAACCATAAATCTCTTGTATTACCGTGACATCATATCCATTAATAGCAATGATTTTAAAGTCAGCCAAACTTTTGAAGGAATCGCCTCAAAAACAAGTACATGTATACGATTTGAATTTTTAAATGACTTGAAATAATATTCCAGATATTTTAATTGCTTCCTCCAAGCTGTTGATGATACAACGGTAAGGTGTCTACCATGGACCGAGAAAGGCTATAATAAGGTTGTCTATATATTTGAAATGGCACACCATCAACCAGGTATGGTAACACACATTAATACTCAAAGGATGAGTCAGGATATAATACTAGTATGCCCGCGTGGTCCCTGTTATTGAATGTATGTGATTTTTTTAATTACTGTCCTGCTAAGAGTTAAAATAAGTATCCTAAATAAAACAAGTAGTCGTTACCATGTAGAATACATATGACAGCATGTACGAGATAAAAATAGAAACAAAGACCATATCATAGTATGTGTATATTTTGGTGTTCACATATCTTAATATCCTGGTGTTTCAGTAAAAATGAGGAAAAACAATATGGTTGCCACTAAGGGTATTTATTTTTAACTGTTTGCCAAATTGTAACCATAAACCTATGCTAAGCATGAATTCAACTGAAATATATACAACTTTATCGGCACTATTGAGGTGTCAAAATAGCATGCTCAGCGCAACTGGGTGACAATTGATAACCAAGATAAAAAAAACACTTCAAGAAAAAGCATTCTATGCCTCTACAAAGGAACTCAATTGTGTTTCCACTTAAATTGTCATTCAATTCAAACATATCGATATCTCATTAATTGAGACACAAATTAATATTTTGGGATTCTCGGAAGAAGGATAGAATATTAAGGTTTGGTGTTTATGTGTGCTTGAGTTGGCTATTTAGACTTTAAAATGTTTTGATATTTTTATGTCGATATCCAGAGACATTTCCTGACTTATCCATTGCCGAGTTTCTATGTCATTTGAGATTGTAATATCGATACAAATATAAGAAGAACAATTTAATATCTGAAAACCGATTGGAGATTTCTATTCAAAACTATTCTGAATTTCATCAAATGGTCTGTTAAATCTAATAACATTAAACAATCTGAGTCCCATCGGTCTCATATGCCTATCATCCTAAGGACGACATTGTATTGCCATTTCAATGGTTTATTATACTCTTTTTTCTCAGATCACCAGTGGTTTTGGTTAGGATCAGACCTAAGTGCAGCACCAACATATGAAAATGGTGGTTTATTCTATCGCAATGGGAATGCAACACATGTATGGCAGGATGATATATTTCAGATAATGCGCAGTCACAACTGGAATTTAGTCCGTCTTAGACTTTGGGTAAATCCCCCACCCGATGATGAATATGCAGGTAACTTTATAGGGCTTCCTGCTATATTTTTGTATGGATTTATGTTGGACCTCAAAAACATTATCTATGTTGGACCTCAAAAACATTAACCACGGGAGGGCGTCAAAAAATCTACCTGTGTGGGTGACATTTTTAAAACCAACCCAAGTTGAATGCATGGATTTAGTAGCATGTACCTTTTTTGGACATTAAGTCTATTATGCCATAGTCGTTTTGTACATTGAATCTACTCCAACTCAGCGGAGTGTGTCTTCCTCCATCGGCTCGACTTAAGGTATACTTTGATTTAAATTAAGGTTTCTCTATGGTATCTCAACTTGCCCAGAGACTGAGCAGCTTGGGCCTGAAGTGGGTTTTGGATTTCCATTACTCTGATACTTGGGCAGATCCCGGCAAGCAGAGAAAGCCTGCAACTTGGAGGTCTCTTAACTTTGATGCTCTTGTGCAGAGAGTCTATGATTATACTAGGTAACTTTCAAAAATATATAATCAAACTGTATTCGACCGTTGATGATTTTAATTGTTGGTGCAATGGTTCTTTGTTCTTTTTGTCGTTATAATTAGTATTATTACCACCTTGCCGGGCCAGTTCTAGGGGTTTTAGTGCTAGTTTAGAAGGCGTTTATTTTACTATATCGACCTGAGAAATGTGTGACGTCATAGTGGTGGTCCATATGGACCGGTCTAGAATATATTCTGGACCGGCAATTTCCCCGGGAAATTAGATATCGTTCAATGCGTAAGATTTTCTTGCTGTTTCAGTCCTGGTCGTTAACGGTGGTAATAATACTAATAACGTCATTTCTGCGAGCGATATAGTGAAATATTCGGCCCTTGGTCCAATATTTCACTATATCGCCTTTAGAAATGACGTTATTGTACTAGAATAGTATATATAATAGTTTTAATTACATAATATTAATAGTACTTAATAATAGTATTATATTACACTAGGCGGTAAAATGCCACACTTGTGTTGTCTAGAAAATGGCAACGTCATATGAGCAGCTAGTTTCCCTAATCTTGAAGGAAAGTCTTATGGATAGAAATACTTGAATATGAATTGATGATCATCAGAAGGGCATTTAGTTTGGTACTTCTTGCAATATGAACAAATTGTGTGTACTTTAGTTTAAACTGTTACATATTAATGTTTTAGAACTACCTTGGAACAGTTACGTGAAGTTAATGCGTTGCCCACTTTCGTTCAAGTTGGAAATGAAATAAACAATGGCATGTTATATAACGAGACTGATCAGAGCTGTATTGAAGGCGGAAAACTCTGGCTAGAATGTAAGTCGAACCGAGTCCAGAATGGTTACATCACTCTTGGGGAAATACTTCATTATCGTGCAGTGTAACATGAATCTCAATTTTTGCGCAAATAGGAATATACTATGTTCTCAATAGAGCATGCCACAATAGTTCAAAATAAAACGTAGATCGGTTTTTGTTTTTCAGGTGGAGAAAACAACTGGGATTCATTCACAAAGCTGGTAATTGCAGGAATCAACGCAGTACATCATGTTTCAAAGAACATTGAAATCATGATTAACGTCGGCAGTTCTATCAAGGCTCTGTGGTGGTACACCGAACTCGGCAAACATATGGACATCAACCTCATTGATGTGTTCGGTTTGTCATATTACCAAAAATATAATCCTGGCTACTTTTTGAACAATCTTGAAACAAATCTTAAAGCCTTGTCTGAACGGTTTAAAAACCATGATATTCATATCGCTGAAACGACGCACCCCTATCGACACGTTGAGGATCCCAATTTACACTATCCAGAGACTGCGGAGTTTCCCTTTACTGCCCAGGGGCAACAGGATTACGCTCAGGGGCTCATCAATGTCGTAAAGTCAGTGAGGAGGGCTACTGCTGTCACATGGTGGGGAGGAGAATGGTGTCGACCAGGAGACACTGAATTTCATGTTTCATCTTCACATTTTGATAGCGAGGATGGATGTGTTGTTAACCCATCTGTGTACAATATGAAACATGGCTATCATTATTAATAGAGAGTCAGACATTGAGGCATATGTTTTAAGATTCGTTAACGTTTGTCAGTTTAGATTCTAGATTTTAAACACTGAATTTTGTTACCGTATCACACAACTCGAGAGATACATGTACACGATCGTAAGTAAAACCTTGTAAATAAGTCAGGATAAAATGCCTTTCTTAAAGATGACACTAATATTGAATCAACTCTTGCATTAAAAATCTTAACTCGTTTTTAATGTATAGAACAACACCTAAGCCTATTCAATATTTATTGCTTGTACGCTTTGACATTTGTTATGTGAATTGTGCAATGTATATAAAATATGAATTGTGGATGGACATAAAATATATGAAAAAACTAATCAAACCTACCGTCTATACCTGCCTATATGTACTTCATGTCATACAAATGTTTCATTTTTGTCCAGATTTTGTCCAGTGTTCGGATAAGTAAACAAAACCCAATACTACCCGATATTCAACGAGTAAATACAAGATATAGCATATTCCGTTTCAAATGTTGAGAATTCTTTCAAAAAACGAGTCTCAAAATCCGTGTCAGAGACAACATTATATTTTTAAAGTACGCGCGTCTCGAACTCACGACCTCATTGTTACGACACAGAGCCTAGCATGGCTTTCTCAGAGCTTGACTGCTCAGCCAGGTCGACAACACCAAGAAAGCTTGTTTCGTCAGCCAATCTGACTTGAAGGAATAGGTGATCAAAAAAAGTCGCCTTTAAAATAAAGCACAAAAAATCATCAAGGGGAGATAAGTAATCAGCAAAGAGAAATAACTGATTTTTTCTCAATTACATTAGCATTATAACATATACATTATTCATTGCTTGTACGTTTTGGTGGGCAGAGTATCATTCAGCAGACAAGTCCAAATATCACCTTACCCTGCTTTAAAATACAATTGAAATCATAAATAAACAAGGCATTACATGCCCACTTGGATTTTAATCGTATAAAGTTTGCAATATCATACTTATAAAACCAACTTACAAGAAATAACCTTGACAAACCAAAGAAAATAAATCCTGAAAATAAAAATAATTTGTTTTGTGTTTCTATAGAGTAATTTTCTAATTTGTTCCTCCAACAGGGGTATTAAATTTTCAATATGTTGCCTAGCTTTGTGTTTGACCACCATTAATACGTGTATCATTTATTAAATAATACATGTCTTTTAGTTAAGGTTTAAACCATTTTATTGAGAATCTTCATTGCATTTCATTAACGGATTGTAAACAAACTTCAGCTTTGGCTTCAAAACTAGTTAATAGACTATTTAGAGTTTTTTTGAGTCTGTGATATGTATGTACTGTGAATGTTCACTCGTTCAGTCACTGTGACCTGTTTACTTATCTGTTTACTATTGCACTTATGACATAGTATTTTGAGTGTATACACTTATGTCGTGATCATATTTGCTCCGATCTTCAACACCAGCGTCTGGCCGATGAGTATTTTGTTCAAAACTGAATCCAATTTGGTTCGAAATATTTATCGGGTGGGTGCCAGTCCTGAAAATCGGAGCAAATGTGACAAATGTGACCACAGCTGATCAACGGCTATTACACTGCCTTTCAGGGGGAGTAATTCATTCAGAAGATTAAAACGTGCAGCTGTGTATTATAATCACATTGGCTTTTTAGATTAACTTCCCTTATTGCAGGTTTTAGAACAGCCAAGTTTTGTCTGATATCATTTTTATAACATATCGAATTGAGCGATAGTAGTGAAAAGAATATGCTTAATATATATACTAGTGACATCGAATTAACAGAAATATATCTTGTAATTAATGGTATATAGGAATACGAGAGTGTAATGCACGGTGTACATTTGAATTCAGGAATAGGCCTACATGGATGTGAACGAATATATTCCAAGGTGGCATACGAAATGAAACATTGTGAAGGTTACACATCGTGCAATAAAATGATGAACATGTACACAGATGGGGTGTATAGTGACATATGAAATGATAACAGATCCAAGCACCGACAACAATATGTCAAGGTCATTTAAAATGGCATTGCGACGTAATAAGATGTCCATGTACGAGAAAATATTGGCGGTACTCATAATTTTAGCATCGTGCTTTGCTTTATATAGAACGATTTTTAGGTCTCAAGAACATTTCAATAATTTCCATATTCCTAGTCCCCTTCGACAAGGATCAATTGGACGTACAGGTAGGTATTCTACATAAAACATGAAATAAGATTGAATTTAATGAAAATTGCAGTAATTGAATTCTTGCCGTCTATACATGTACCTGCCTCTTCATGTCATTCACATTGCTTCATTGCTACGAAACAGTATATGCACATTCGGAAATGTTTAACCTCATTGCAAAATCAGATCTAAGCTTTCATAAGAATTGGTACCAGTCTGGACACAAACTGAAATACATGAAGACACAAGGGATAAAATCCATTCTAAAAATCCATATGAGTTTCAGAGTCAACATTCCATGCGCAAAATACTTCCTCATAGTCTATAAAACACAAAAGAATCAGCAAGGGGAGATTGTCCAAATATAGTTAAATATGATTGTATTAAATTCCAATATATTTCTATTATTCTAATCGTTTTTAGTATTTGAATTACAGAAGCAAAAGACCTTGAAATATGGATAGGTAAGTACAATAATATTTGCGATAAATCGAATGGCTATTGATTTGAGAAAAATAATTTGAATGGATGTAAGACGTCTTTTTAATCATCATATAACAGTTGTTTCATAGTTTATATGGGTAAGTTGCAACTAATATAATTTTTGGATTATTTTTTTGCAAACCTTTGTTCTTCCAAAGAATATATCCCTTCTTCATACGTTTAAAGAAGATAACATACTTACTTCAGTACTAGTATACTGTATGTTCTTCTCTTTCGTCCTATATACGTATCTACTTTGTATAACACTTGCAGGTGGTCGTGTTTCATTGCGCTCTATGTACAATGGTAGGTTCCTCAGTGTACAAGGTCCAGCCACAGACTGCAAAGTTGTACTAGCGGACCAGCTGAATGGGGACCAAGAGATTGTTTTGGATGTCAGAGAGAACGATGTGGTTGGAGTCTTGAACTATACAGAGACCGTCTACCTGGAGAGTCGGAATGGAAATCACATAAATGTGGCTGGTAAACATACTCACTTTAATTTAAACAACATGTTAAAATATCATTATGAGGATTTAAAAGTATGAACTTAAAGGTACAAAATATTTTCCTTGGATACTGTATGTCATAGGGTTTTGTAAACCAGGTTACAAAGAAGATAAAATAATATATACAATTCATGATAATACTGTTACTGTAGACCGGTTTGTATTTATAATTTAGAAAAGGGTTCAGTTGAAGCTAAATGGAGAGACAAATCTGGTTGGCAAGGATTTCAACTGAAGACTGCACCTTCTAGCAGCGGTACAGAGACAATGATGGAAAAAGATAAAGTTTATATATACAATATGTGAGTTGAATGATGCGAGAGCAACAAGCAGCTTTCACTCCACATAAATACCAAAAACATAACATCAAATACAGCGTAACAGTATATCATATAAATAGTTCATATGTAACTTGTAAGCACTTTAAAAGTACTTTTAAGACCGAAGACCACAGAGTGTTGCAAAACAAAATGACAAGAAGAAACGGACAAAAGCAATGGATATCCCTTCCCCTAACCATGCAGGGTTTAATCAATACAATATATTATATTAATTGGGGATACTATAAATACAATATACCACTGCCATGAATCTTTGAATAACTATTGAAATAATATTCCAGATATTTCAATTGCTTCCTCCAAGCTGTTGATGATACAACGGTAAGGTGTCTACCATGGACTGAGAAAGGCTATAATAAGGTTGTCTACATGTTTGAAATGGCACACCATCAACCAGGTATAAAAACACATATAAATACTCCAAGGGATATAACATGCCCTTTTGGCCCCTCGTTCAAATGTATGTGAAATATTTTTTTATGTCACCACCACAATTGGTGAAATATTGTTATAGTCTCTAACTTTTTTGTGGACGGTGGTGTCAGGCGGTAGGCGCTCGGGATCTGGAACAAATGGCAGGTTGTGACATTTTGCACGTTAATTTATTAATGTAAAAATGTAAGTATTCATTTTTGTTAGTTTTGACACATAATTTACCTCGTGCTTAGCTGAAAGTCAAAATCAGTGTCCATAAGTCCATAAGTGCCGTTATCATGAATAATACAAATGGCAGCATGTACGAAATAAAAACTAGATACAACTTAGGGACCATGAAGAGTTTAAAAAATCACATTTTTAGACATATTTTTGGCGTTAGATTCAAATATTTGAATTTCCTGTTATTTTAGTATTAAGGGAATAAAACAAAATGGCTTCCACTTGATGTACTGAATTTAACTCTTCGTCTAGATCATGTGCATGAATATGAAACTGAAATATATTCACTTATTCACTCAGCTAAGCATGAGATAAATTATGTGTAAAAATTAACAAAAATGAATACTTATCAGTGGCTGTAATCCATTGATAACCCAGATCAACACCACTTCAGTTATCATAAATACCATTCTATGTCTCTTCCAAGGAAGAAAGCAATGTTTTTGAAACAAACGTTTTTATATAAATTATTAATTTAGTATTTGCACTTGAAATCTTTTTCAATTATAACATATTGATACTCATTGTCTTCGGTGACAATATACAAATTACTAATAATATCAAGTGTGGTTCTCGTATGAAGGATATGATATTAAGGTTGAGTAGTATGTGTGATTGAGTTTTAGAATTTGAAAGGAAGAATTTTAAACATGTTGTGTTTATGTCGTTTTGTTCCAATGATGTTCGGAAAGATGTTTCATTTCACTCTGGAAACATGATACTAAGAACAAAACAAGTGTTTGATGTGTTTTCCAAAACAATATAGATGAAAGTATATAAAGTATTTTTCATAACTTGTTTAAGAGAAACGTGTGTTCAAAATATTGAGAACTGAATTCAACAATGTTTTTCTCTTAAACCAATCATATTGAAAAAATTCTGTAAAAAAACAAGGTATTTTATGTAATGTTGACTGATTGACAACAATTTAATGCGACAATTATTTAGAAATATTTTATATAACTGTTTTTGTTAACGTTTTTGGTTTTTTTATTGCAATTGTTTTTGCTCCTTTCTTCCAAGTCTTTCTTCCTCTCAATATTATAGTTATACAAAGAAATTTTTGGTTGATTTTAAAATGTATTCAAAAAGTTAAAAAAATCCCCCCAAAATAGATAAAAATCAAGACAAACCTTTTATTTCATTAACAAGATACTTTTTTTAAATCAACCAAAATTTCCTTTGTACAATTACTACATTGAAAGACTTAAACATGTTGTGTTTATGTCGTTTTGTTCCAATGATGTTCGGAAAGATGTTTCATTTCACTCTGGAAACATGATACTAAGAACAAAACAAGTGTTTGATGTGTTTTCCAAAACAATATAGATGAAAGTATATAAAGTATTTTTCATAACTTGTTTAAGAGAAACGTGTGTTCAAAAAGTTCTCCATATCGATACCACTCCTTTTTAATATTTTATAATTCAATATCCTGGCCGTTTCTTATCCTATGCCACTTTAGATCCTAATATAAATTACAATTATAAGATAAACAATTTAATTTCTGAAACTTCATCGAAGATTAATGTTCAAACAATATTCTGGATTTCATGAAATAGTCATCGAGTCTGTAAAGTACTATATTCATTAAACAATTTGAGCCACATCGGTCCCATACGGCTATCATTCTTGTATATGGGACAATACAGCATTGCTATTGCGATGACTCATTATAAGCTACTTCAACCATTTCTTTCCAGATCACCAGTGGTTTTGGTTGGGCTCAGACCTAAGTTCATCAGCAACATATGAAAATGGTGGTTTATTTTATCGCAACAGAAATACAACCCACGTGTGGCAGGATGATATATTTCAGATAATGCGCAGTCACAACTGGAATTTAGTCCGTCTTAGACTTTGGGTTAACCCCCTACCCGATGAGGAATATGCAGGTAACGTTTATATGACTTCCTGCTTTATTTTTTGTATGGATCTATGTTGGACCTCAAAAACATTAACCACAGGCAAGCGTCAAAAGGCGTACCTTGGTGGGTCACTTTTTCAAAACAAACCTGAGTTGAACGCATGAATTGTAAACCTGTGTTTAGCGAACAAATATGGAGCCACAAAAATGTGTTCAGTGTAGGTACGTGATCGTGAAGAGGGTAATTTATACAGAAGTCAGTGGAGTATGTGCGGAGAAAGAGGGTTCACTAGGAACAGTGTTCACAAGAGAGAGGTGTTCACTAAGACAGGTTTAACTAGTATATTCATGCCATCTTGGACCCCTATTGGACATAAGACCATAATGCCATTGTAGTTTTTACATAGAATCCATAGAGTCTGCCTTCCTCCATCACAAGGATTTATGGTATAGTTTGATTTCATTAAGGGTTCCCTAGGGTGTCTCAACTTGCCCGGAGACTGACCAGCTTGGGACTGAAGTGGGTCCTGGATTTCCATTACTCTGATAATTGGGCAGATCCCAACAAGCAGAGAAAGCCTCCATCTTGGAGGTCTCTTCACTTCGATGCTCTTGTACAGAGAGTCTATGAATATACAAGGTAGATTTCAAACATATAAAATGCAACAGTCTAGATTGTTGTTGATTTTGATTGTTAGTACTATGGTTCTTTGTTCTTTTTATTGTTATAATTGGAAGTAATTATTTTAGTGTTTTAGACTTGGCAACGAAACGACACGTTTTGGTTTTCTAGAAAGTCGCAATGCATCTTGTTCAATTTCCTTGATCCTGAAGGAGAAGTCCTGTATAGAAAACCTTGGTTTAGTTTGGTTGATTATCATAAGAACATTTAGATTGGTATTTCTCTTTGTAATGTGAACACATTTTGTATGTTTTAATTCTAAAATGTTACATATCTTTTAGAAGTACCTTGGAGCAGTTACGTGAAGTGAATGCATTGCCCACTTTCGTTCAAGTTGGTAATGAAATAAACAATGGCATGTTGTGGCATGAGGCTGATGAGAGCTGTATTGAAGGCGGAAAACTCTGGCAAGAATGTAAGTTGAATGATGCGAAAGATTTGCATTCATAATTTTCAATATATTTGCATACAGTTTAAATAATATTGCATAACAAAGATCCTCAAACTGAAATAACTGGCTTTTTGGTGTCTACATGATTATTACAAAATGGCCCTCGTCAAATCATTATTTTGTTTTCAGCAACAATTAACCATTTTCTCAAAAAAGCCTGCAACAAAGTAAAACGCATATTGGTATTGCTTTTCAGGTGGAGCCAATTGGGAATCATTTACAAAGCTGGCAACTGCTGGGATCAACGCAGTACATCATGTTTCAGATGACGTTGACGTCATAATGCACACTGGCAACTCTATCAACGCTCTTTGGTGGTATACCGAACTCGGCAAACATATGGATATCAACCTCATTGATGTGTTCGGTTTGTCATATTACCAAAAATATAATCCTGGGTACTTTTTGAACAATCTTGAAACAAATTTTAAAGCCTTGTCTGAACGGTTTAAAAACCATGATATCCATATCGCTGAAACGACACACCCCTATCGACATGTTGAGGATCCCAAATTACGCTTTCCAGAGACGGCTGAGTTTCCGTTTACTGCTCAAGGCCAACAGGATTACGCTCAGGGGCTCATCAATGTCGTAAAGTCAGTGAGAAGGGCTACTGCTGTCACATGGTGGGGAGGAGACTGGTGTAAACCAGGAGACACTGAATTTCATGTTTCATCTTCACATTTTAATAGCGAGGATGGATGTGTTGTTAATCCATCGGTGTACAATATGAAACCCGGCTATCATTATTAATAGAGGGTCAGACGTTAAGCCATATTTTGTAAGATTTGTTTTCTGTTAAAGATTCTAGATTTTAAACACTGGATTGGGTTACCGTAACTTATACCAACTCGAGAGATACATGTACACGATCAGAAGTTGAAAGTTGTAGCCTTCCTCAAAGATTGCACTATTATTGATGAGTTTTTCAAGTAAAAATCTTTAATCTATTTTTAATTTATAGAATATGCATTCTAATAATTACACTTACATGTAAGTAGCATTGTTTCAGGAACTCTAAAGTTTCAATATAGACGTCGCGTCATTATCTTATAAAAATCACCTAAGTCTATTCAATATTTAATGCTTGTATGTGTCCAAAATTAGTTATGTTTAGTGTGCAATATATAATGGATGGATATGAAATATATGAAAAATTAATAAAACCGTCTGTACAGGTACCTGCCTAAATGTACTCCATGTCCAAGGAGTTTCATTTGTATGTAGATATTGAAAATTCCAACCTTTCATATCATATCATATCAATATTTATTTCAAGTCGGATAATTTTTGTACAATAAACATTAGCGCAAGCGCTATTGACCGACATATAGACATAGAAATCTTTAAAATAAATTTTTTAAACATGTAACAGTGTTAACAAGATAAATACTAAAAAAAAATCATATGTCATACTAAAATACATTTACATAGTGGCACAGAGAATCTGAAAGGTTTACATTTTACATTTACATATTGCACATTTGCAGTTTTCACCGTTCCATGATTTAATTAGTTTTTTGAACTCTGTAAGAGATACACAACTTCTGAGATCATTGGGTAGATTGTTCCATATAAAGCATGCATCAACTTTAATATAATCCCTATCTACATCACAAACGCAACACTGTAGGTGTGGAGTTGGGAGGCTAACAGGGCCTTTTAGATAGACCAGCTTACCACTACCTACCCGCTTTGGGTTCTTAGGGACAGTTGAGCAATGTGTGTATGTGTAGGAATATATAAGCAAGGCCGTCAGATGGGGGGGTGCGATGGGTGCGACCGCACCCCCCTTTGTTACCCCCCCAAAATAAAGTTAAAAAAAAAATTTGAAAATTTTTTTTTTTAATTTTTTTTTTTTTTTTAATTTTTTTTCATTGACTCATACACTTTGAAAGTACCCAGAAAGCACCAAATAGCATCTTAAAATTGTAAAATTTTCTAGGGGTATTGGCCACCCCTCACACCCCCCACAAAACAATGGAAAAGTTCTAAATTTATTTTAGTGTTTTGTCTCAGACACTTTTAAAGTGCCCAGACATCATCAAATAGCTTGATATAGTTAGTGTTTCTGGGGGACTTGCTCCCCCTCTTGCATCTTGCACTTGCATAACACCCCCCCCCCCTCTGGCGCCCCCCCCCTTGACCCCCCCCCAAAAAAAAAGTGATTTTCTTTAATTGACTCATATAATTTGAAAATGCCCAGAAAGCACCAAATAGCGTCGTAAATTTTTTTAATTTTCTAGGGGGAGTGGGCCACCCCTCACACACCAAACATAACAATGGAAAAGTTCTGGATTTGTTTTATGTATTGTCTCAGACACTTGCCCAGACATCATCAAATAGCTCCTTGATAAAGTTAATGATTCTGGAAGACTAACACTTACTCGCCCTCTGGCATCCCCACTCCACCTCCCCCTCTGGCAACCCCCCCCCCCTTAACACCCCCCCCCAAAAAAAAAGAAATTGAGATTTTTCAATTTTTTTTATTGACTCATACATTTTGAAAGTGCCCAGAAAGCACCAAATAGCATCTTAAAATTGTAAAATTTTCTTGGGAAATATGCGCTTTTAGGCACAGACACTTTTAAAGTGCCCAAACTTCATCGAATAGCACCTTGATATTGTAAATTTTGATATGGGGGACAAAAACTTGCTCCCCCTCTGGCACCCCAGCCCCACCTCCCCCTCTGGCACCCCTCCCCCCCCCTTTGACACCCCAAAATTTGAAAAAAATGTGATTGTTTTCTCAATGTTTTTATTGACTAATACCTTTAAAAGTACCCAGAAGCACCAAATATCATCTTTAAATTGTAAAATTTTCTAGGAGAGTTAGCCACCCCCCACATCCCCCACAAAACAAAATAAATATTCTGAATTTCATGTATTGTCTCAGACATTTTTTAAGTGCCCAGACATCATTAAATAGCACCTTGATATGGTCAATGTTTCTGGGGGACAACCCCTTGCTCCCCTACTGGCACCCCACCCCACTTCATCCTCTTTGACACCCCCAAAAGAATTTGACATTTTTCTTATTGACTCATATTGACCAGATGGTTGCAAATTCGCTCCAAATACAAGCAAATTTCAAAATTTTCCTGGGGGAGAACCTGACCAGACCACGTACCCTGAATGCTCGGTTTTTTATTCACTCAACTCTTATTCTTGTGGTGGTGGCGTACTTCTTAGGAACTTACACTTTGAAAGTGCCCAGAAAGCACCAAATAGCATTTCAACACTGTAAAATTTTCTAGGGGGAGTGGACCACTCCTCACACCCCCCACAAAACAATTGGAAGTTGCATTCCTAGCCTTGAAGAAGGCTTTAGCATTTGTTGATTTTTAAAAATATCCAATTTTTAAAAATCAACAAATGCTAAAGCCTTCTTCAAGGCTAGTTAATTCCAAACCAATATAGGGAGTAACTGCCCCCCTCCCCCTCTGTCTTACGCGATTTGATTTACGCGGCAAAAATTTGACAATTTTATATTCTCTTTAGTAAGCTAAAAACCGCACCCCCCTTGGAGAAAAGTGTCTTACGGGCCTGATAAGCGCAAATATCAACAAAAAAAGGATAGGAAATGTCAGTTGTGCTTCCTCTGGTGTGTCTGAGCGTTAACATCAGCTGCCTCTAGTCAGGTTCACTAACAAAACAACCTTTTTTGGGGTTGTCACAGGCTAGGCGATGGGCGCCGTAACCACGAGGTTGCGAGTTCGAGACGTGTGTACTTCTTGTGTTTATTCAATTATTTCAAATTCCCAAAATCATACCATAATATTTTACCTCTTATAAGAATTAGTAGATGAATCAGATTTTGTTCATTGTTCAGATATGTAAATACAATACCCAATAATCCCTATAACAACAAGTATAACAAGATGTAGCATATTCAGTTTCAAATATTTAGGATATCTATAAAACAAATAAGTCTCAAAATGCATAGGAGTGTTAGAGACAACATTACATTAACAAAATCAACAAACACAATTACAAGGAGTTGTCGCGTTGAGAACGCACAGCCTCATTGTTACATACAGCGCCTGTCATGGCTTCATCAGTGCTCTAGACTTCTCAGCCAGCTCGACAGCTCCAAAAAGGTTTTCATCAGTGAATAGACGTTAATGCATAGAGTCGCCTTTAAATTTAAAAAGCACAAAAATCATCAAGGGGAGATAGGTAATCAACAAAGAGAAATTTTCAAAATTTGGGCCCACTTTTCGGTTTTAGGGGCCCAAAATTTTTTTCCAACCTTAAAATTTGGACCCCCCCCCCTGTTGGTTCCTGGATCCGCCACTGTTTACATATGTGAAATTAACACATTTATTATTTATTGTTTGTACTTTTAGTTGGTAAGAGTAGAAATATCTAATTATCAGTGTGTATATACTGTAGGTCCAAATAGCACCTCGCTCTGCCCCGCTTTAAAACAGATAGACACCAACCACCGAAAATCAAATACCGTCAACAAAAAATGAAGACTACAATAAGTTCGCCAGAAGTAAGATACCAGTTCCTGCAGATAAATACAGGGAGCGGTTTCTACCTTAAGAATTAAGATATAAAGTTACTTTGTCAGACCACACAAATATGCCTTGTGGTGTCTCGTGTTGGATAATTCAAATGAAATGAAACAGAATGTCACCATAGTTTATAAATATAGAACTCCATATGTTAGTATCTCATACATGCTATATATTTAATGATTTTTAAAAAAACATTTCATGTTACCAACTTTTTATACCTTTAATCAACTTCTAAACATGGTCTTGTTTCTGTATTTGAAACTTTATTTAACTACATTTCTTTTCATTTTTACAGCAGGTAAATATACCAAATTACTATGCAAATAAGATAAATCTCAAATTAGAAAACATTTTTATATTTTGATTGATTTGTTTTATTCTTAATCCCTTTTTGTTATCTTACAGCAGCAATAGACCTTGAATTATGGATAGGTATGTACAATATGTATACTAGATATAGCTCTCCACATTAAGAAAACGAATCCAGATGGCTCTGGGGAATGATATGTATAACCATATGGAATTTAGCTGGATATGAGATACATGTCGTGTCATAAAATGTTCAAAGGAATGGTTTACTCTTCTTCTCTATGTACATCCTACATCCTACTGTGTACATCCTACATCTACCTTGTACATAATCGATGCAGGTGGCCGTGTGTCATTGCGCTCTATGTACAATGGTAGGTTCCTCAGTGTACAAGGTCCAGTCACAGCCTGCAAAGTTGTACTAGCGGACCAGCTGAATGGGGATCAAGAGATTGTTTTGGATGTCAAAGAGAACGATGTGGTGGGAGTCTTGAACTATACAGAGACCGTCTACCTGGAGAGTCGGAATGGAAATCATATAAATGTGGCTGGTAAAAGTACTTGCCTTTTCTTATCATTTAAATTTACTCCCTAGATACTATATCATGCCTTGTACTCCAAGAGACATTGCATCCCATTTGACTTCATAGTTACATAATATTGCATAATACTGTTTAACAGTTAATTGTATTTTAGAAAATCGTTCAGTTGAAGCGCAGTGGAGGGACAAATCTGGTTGGCAAGGTTTTCAATTGAGGACTATACCCTCCAGTAGCGGTACAGAGACAATGATGGAAAAAGATAAAGTTTATATATACAATATGTGAGTTGAAAACTGAATGATGGGTATACACACAAAACAGACTTTCTGGAAAATTTGGCATTTGAGACGACATGCTCTAAATTACCTCTATCAAGTTTTGATGCAGAACTGAATGAGATTCCAAACATTAAAAATGGGTTGTAATACTAAAACAAAATGTTCTCAAAGCTAAAAGAAGTTACATTGTGAAATTTCTAGATCAACATGATTATTATTATAAATTGTCTGTCGGAGTCGGATGATCAAAAAAGAATAGCCCTTCGGCCCATATAGTCATTCCTTATTTATATCAGTATATCGTTGATACACCCTGTATGTAAGCAGACGTAATTCTAAAATAAGAAAAGTCAAGGAGTGTAAGAAAGCACATCGAATAAGTAACAGCACCTTACAGCACAGCCAATATAAGGTTAAATAACAAACACCATTCTCTTCCATATATCTCAAATGATCTAAAGTAGAAAAAACAACGTCTTATGCCCCTTCCCTAACTGCACAGAAATTAAGTAATGAAAGTAGAGATAATATGACAACCATGTACGATTACTAACCTTTCAGAATCACTTGTATTACCATGACAACATTACCTGGGAACAAGTAATACCAATATTTGCAGGATCAATGATGCCACTGATGGACATTAATCTTAGTCGAACCTCCAATGGAACAGCCAATCAAGTGCTTATTTATAAAGGATTTAACTGTTGAATATTACAGAAACTTCAATTGCTTCCTCGAAGCTCTAGATGATAAAACAGTACATTGTTCACCATGGACCGACAGAGGCTATGATAAGGTTGTCTACATGTTTGAAATGACACACCACCAACCAGGTAGGAATTGAAACATATAAATACCAAAAATGGTCAAGTGACTCGATATCCACATTTTAGTTCCTCATAAACTATCAATTACCAATACAGACAAGATTGCAGTATAATTGCAGAGTTCAAACAATTATTCCATCTTCGATTTCCAGGGTGATTATAACATACCTTGATGAAGTTGAAGCAAATGAAACCGCAATTAATCTCAAGAAGTACTCCCAATATATGAGCCATTGCCTGTTATCCTAAGCATGTCATCCTAAGCTTTCTGCTGAAAGCCCATGTCTTAAGGGACAACACTTGCAAATAATTGTCCACTCCATTTCTTTCTAGATTACCAATGGTTTTGGTTGGGTTCAGACCTAAGTGCATCACCAACATATGAAAATGGTGGTTTGTTTTACCGCAACAGAAATACAACCCACGTGTGGCAGGATGATATATTTCAGATAATGCACAGTCACAACTGGAACTTAGTCCGTCTTAGACTATGGGTCAATCCTTTACCTGATAAAGAATATGCAGGTAACATTTTACTTTTTACTATTGATGTATGCGGGATCTTAAATGCATCGTCCGAAGACGTAGATCAAAAAGTCAACTTTAAAATATATGTCTGTGTTGAATGGATTTTACTACCGTTAACCTCTACTGGAAAGAGGTCCATTGTACCATAGTACTTAGTTTTGCACATGGAACGCCCAAAGTGTTTTCCTCCACAGCCTTTCCCTTGACTCTAGATATACTCTGATTTCATTTAGGGTTCCCTATGGTATCTCAACTTGCCCAGAGACTGACCAGCCTGGGCCTGAAGTGGGTTTTGGATTTCCATTACTCTGATACTTGGGCTGATCCAGGATGGCAAAGAAAACCTGCGACTTGGAGGTCTCTTAGCTTCGATGCTCTTGTTCAGAGAGTCTATGATTATACCAGGTAAAGGGTAACTTTTGAATAATTGTTGATGCAATGATTGATTGTTTTGGTTGATTTGTTGATCATCATTTTACTATGTATGACATTAAAATGTTTATGGCTACGAAATGTCATATAGTCAAACATAAACTCGTCGTCAATCTTCTTTTAAATTTTATATATGCACTATACATGCTGTCATTTGTGTTGTTTTTATGGTCGAGACTATTTAAAGAATATTTAGTCTGAATGTTCATTTTGATTATTAGCATGAGGTTTATTATGAGTAAATATTTCACATACAATTTTATCAAAGCGAGGGGAAAATTGGTATAAATCCTGGCACATATTTGTAACGAATTAAAGATATTGACAAATTTCTAAATCAAAACAAAATTTTGAAATGTTACATATGTTTTAGAAGTACCTTAGAGCAGTTACGTGCAGTGAACGCATTGCCCACTTTTGTTCAAGTTGGTAATGAAATAAACAATGGCATGTTATATAACGAAACCGATCAGATCTGTATTGAGGGCGGAAAACTCTGGCAAGAATGTAAGTAGTGGGATGTGAGAAACGCAGTGATACGTAAATATGTTTTCATCTATTTATAATAAAAATATATAATAAATTTATAATAAAAAAAGTCTTGAACAATACACTGTCTTAAAAATATTCCTGGTCGAATAGATTTCCTGTTTTCAGCAAAGATTGCAATTTTTCTTCAATATTTCACAATATAAAAAGTAAATTGCGTAAGTGTGCTGTATTTCAATTCAGGTGGAGCCAACTGGGATTCATTTACAGCACTGGTCACTGCAGGGATCAACGCTGTGCATTATGTTTCCGATGACATTGACGTCATCGTGCACACTGCCTCTATCAACTGGCTATGGTGGTATACAGAACTCGGCAATCACATGGATGTCAACCTCATTGATGTCATTGGTGTGTCATATTACCAAAAATATAATCCTGGGTACTTTTTGAACAATCTTGAAACAAATCTTAAAGCCTTGTCTGAACGGTTTAAAAACCATGACATCCATATTGCTGAAACGACGCACCCCTATCGACATGTTGAGGATCCCAAATTACGCTATCCAGAGACGGCTGAGTTTCCGTTTACTGCTCAAGGGCAACAGGATTACGCTCAGGGGCTCATCAATGTCGTAAAGTCAGTGAGAAGGGCTACTGCTGTCACATGGTGGGGAGGAGACTGGTGTAAACCAGGAGACACTGAATTTCATGTTTCATCTTCACATTTTGATAGCGAGGATGGATGTGTTGTTAATCCATCGGTGTATAATATGAAACCCGGCTATCATTATTAAATGAATAGAAGTAATTAGTCATATTTTATTGTATGGAAAAAAATAAAGAATGAATAAAGGACTTTCACATTGATGTGCTATTCAAAAGTTCTTAGAGTAACGACATCATTATGTGCTATCCAGTTTTGGATAGAGGTACATGGTGTATCTTTTTAAAAAACCATCTCAAATAGAGTGTCAGAGGCAACATCACATTTCCGAATAAAGTCACCTTTAAATTTTATAACCTTTTGGTAAAATTTTAACTAATCCCAGTGATAAATTGTAGTGAATGTATGGCAATCATATAGGAGCAAAATTCCCCAGCTCCACGGGTCTCCTATTTAAGATTTCTCTTGTCTTTAAACATCTTTGTTACTGTATAGACATCCACCATCTATGAAACCTCGGTTATCTCAAATCTGGAATGCAGTTGTGCTATACAACCTCACAGTCACAGACAATGTCAAGGACATGATTTTGAATACAGAAATTTCTTCAACAACAATAATGCAAGTTGTTCACCTCGACATATCATATCGTAAATAGTAGACACTGTGGTGGTGACACATACAGAATTTGTTGTGATGTTAACGAAAGAGAAAGTGTTAAGCATTCTTTATTACTTGTCTAGCTTTTACGTATTTTGCTTTTGCATATATTGATGATAAGGATACTTTGCTACTTTTATCAAATCATGTGTATGAGTTGCAATTGAGCAAAAGGCAGAGCTCGATTCATATGGCAAAATTGTCAATTGCCCTTACCCCATTTAACCCTTATTATGGCATTACATTTAGCATTGATTGCCTTCTTAAGGTCAGCAATATTCTGACCTATAGCTTACGACTCACTGGCGCTAGTCAGTTACAGTATCATCCTAAGGAAGTTTTGGGCAGCCCTTGGTTGCCATATGGGATTTACCTGTGCCATATAGTGGTTTTGGTAAGATGGCACTATTCCCTATACCTAGAATAACTCACTAGATTGGCTAAATTCGCACTTTGGCAAGAGGATCATAAGCCATAAGTCAGATAGCTCTTCATCTCCATATACCCCCAAATTGAATCCAGTCAATTTCTTTTTGTGGGGCTATTTGAAAGACAATGAATACCAAAATCATCCTCCGACAATTGATGACGTAAGGAAGGCAATCAGTGCTGAATGTAATGCCATTAAAAGGGTTGAATGGGGTAATTGACAATTTTGCCAAATGAATCGAGCTCTGCCTTTTGTTCAATAGCGGCCATTTTTGAGCATGTAATGTAAATGATCACAGTTACTGAACCAGTTGACTAGTTATACTGAAACTTTCAGGAACAAATTTCCATAAAATTGTTCTGGTGTTTGCGTATTTTCATTGATGTCCCTTGTCTAGTTTAGGAGATATTGCCTACTTCAATGATCTCCTTCAATGATCTCCGACCAGCCACCCTGTAATTCTCTGATCTTTCATTTAAGATATAAATAAATCATACATACAAAACGCAAAAGAATCATCAAGAGGAGATGAATAATCAGTAGAAAGAAACAACAGATTTTCTCAATTACATTAACATATGTGAAATTAACACGCTCATTATTTATTGTTTGTACTTTTAGGTGGTATGAGTCAAAATACCAATATCAGTGAGTAGATAGGTCCAAACATCAACTCAACACTAGCCTCGCCTTGAAATACAATTAAAACCATAACAAACAAGGCATTCTATGCAAAATGTGCACCCTGCCATTTGTTTCAGACACCGTCGAAAATTAAAGACAGTCAAAAATCCCAAAATTTCAGTAATTTTGGTTTTTATAAGAAAACTATACTTACCTAATATGCTACTAATTGCCTTAATCCTACCATATAGCCTTTCTATGGTGAAACTTATACATGTATGTATTTCGTGACAACCCTGTCTCCGTCACGAGTCTATGACCTCAATTTTGTCCATCCTAATTACTTACAAAACCCATCTATGTAATAGGCGGGGTGGATGGGTGGGTCCTATGATTAGTAGCATATTAGGTAAGTATAGTTTTCTTATAAAAACCAAAATTACTGAAATTTTGGGATTTTATTATGTAAACTCTTACACTTACCGTAATATGCTACTAATTGCTGAATACACCATACTTGGTGGTGGGCCTCATAGATTAACTTCATAGACAAACATGTAAAATTATGGTTCTCAACCAATGGCTGACAAATCGCCTTTAATCTAAACAAATTTAGAAGTTACAGGGAAAGTGTAAAGCATAAAAAACAAATGCACACTTAGTGTTCCAACTCTAATTTATTTACACTACAGCCTTTCTATGGTGGATATAATTTATATCACAAGACATTAAATTTCAGTATTACCCGCAATAAAGTGTAAGTCACTGGAAGAGTCCTTTACTGTAATGTCTTTCAAATAAAACTTGATGAAAGTAGTAAGATTAGACCATCTTCCAGCCTTCAAAATGTCCACAGAACTAGTTTTCTTTGAGAAAGCTAGTGACGTTGCTAATGCTCTCAGTTGGTGAGCATGTACTCTAAACTTTACCGCTGAAGATTCTGGTACTGCCTGTAATGCTCGTACTACACACTGCTTGATCCATGATGATACAGTGTTTTTGTGAATGTCTTTATTGTAACCTTTCTTATAAGACAAGAATAGGTTCTTCTGGTCTGATCTTAAATCCTTAGATCTTCTTAAGTAGACTTTCAAACTCCTGACTGGACACAAGAGACGTTCGTCAGGATCATCAGGATTTTCAAGAGCTTTTATCTCGATATCTGACAACAGATTTGCATTCCCAGTCTTGAGAAAAGTCTTGGGAACAAAGTCAGCTCTATATCCTAGATAATAAATAGCTTTGCTCAAGTTATGTGAAACTTTATCTATAGCTAAAGCATGAATTTCACTTCTTCTCGCAGCAGACGCAAGTGAAACTAGGAACACAGTTTTCCAAGTTAAGAATTTTAAGTCTATCAATTCTATAGGCTCAAAAGGGGGTCTCATTAAACCTAGCAAAACTAGATTCAAATCCCAATTTGGCACAAGTTCTAAACATCTAGGCCTGTCTTGTTTGAAATTTTTCAGTAGATTTCCCAACAAAGGATGGGAGCCTATATCTACACCAGAAGCATCTTTGATTGTATTACTGATGGCTGTTCTATAGCCTGCAATAGTGCTAGGCTGGAGGCCCTTTTCTTCAAATAGCCAATTGAAGAATTCTGCCACCTGTTCTACAGGGGCATTGAGACTATCTTTTTGTCTTTCACTACACCACTTAGACCAAATATTCCATCTTGAATCATACACTCTTGATGAGGAGATTCTTTGTGGTCTAGCCATGCGTTGGGCAACTTTTTCAGAAAAGCCCTTTGCTTTGAGCTGCTTGTGGATAATCTCCACGCGTGAAGATTCAACATTGATACATTGTTGTGAAACACCATCATATGTGGTTGTTTCAGCAGAGATGGAATCAATGGCAGGAGCCTGGGTACATCTACTGATGTCTCCAGAAGACTTGTGAACCATGGCTGTTTCGGCCACCAAGGAGCAATCAGAATCATTTCCACATTCTCCTGCATTTTCAGTCTCTCCAAAACCTTTGTCAATATAGGAGTTGGAGGAAATGCGTAAATCCAGAGGTTCTTCCACTCTATGCTCAAAGCATCCACTTTCCAAGCTAGTGGATCGGGTACTGGTGACACAAATAGATCGATTTTTGCATTGTGTCTTGTGGCAAAGAGATCTACATGAGGTTGACCCCATATCTTGCATATGGTTTTGAAAACCTGATGTGATAGACACTCTGTTTGAATGATTTGGTTCTTTCTCGACAGGGCGTCTGCTAACACATTCAGTCGGCCTGCGATGTGTCTTACCTGAATCTTCACATTGTGAAGTTTCGCCCAGTTCAACAATCTCTTTGTTATCTGGTAAAGCACGTACGAGTGGGTACCCCCTTGATTTCTTATGTATGAAATCGCTGTCACATTGTCTGATGCAATCATGACTGTCTGATTCATAAGTTCCGTTTTGAAAGCATAAAGAACTTTCTCTATTGCCATAAATTCCTTCACATTTATGTGAAGAGTTTGTTCCTGACGTGTCCACACGCCTGAACGTTCTATCCCGTTCATGTGTGCTCCCCATGAAGTTTGGGAGCTGTCTGTAAAAAGACTGATTTGGGGTACTTTGATCTCCAAAGTTACCCCTTCCTGTAGCTCCAATGTGGTTACCCACCACATGAGCTCTGTCTGAGTTTTGTGAGACCATTTTACTTGGTCCTCTTGATTTCCTGTCTTTTGAGACCATTTTGTCTGCAAATCGAACTGAGTTACTCAATTCACTATACTAAAGCTAAATTAAACGATTTGTTTTCACATAGAAAAATTTTCCTGTTTACGAAAGAAAATGGTGGATAAAATTGAGGTCATAGACTCGTGACGGAGACAGGGTTGTCACGAAATACATACATGTATAAGTTTCACCATAGAAAGGCTATATGGTAGGATTAAGGCAATTAGTAGCATATTACGGTAAGTGTAAGAGTTTACATAATAAAACCAAGAAATTGAGATTATATAACAACTTTGCCGCTGTGGTGTAAAGGTTAGCACTCTGGACTTCTAATGACAAGGACCTGGGTTTGATCCCAATACATTTACTAGTACACCAGAGGGGTGATTTCACATATTGTAGAGAAAGGTCTAAGATATTTGTTGATGCCATAATTTAATCTTAGTCTTGAATTTTAAAGAAATTACAAGACTTAAACAAACATGTCTATCATTAGATATTGTGCAAAATATTACCAATGTGATTCACGGAAATTCATTGGATGATCCTAAAAAGCTTTCAGTGAGAGATATCAGTTTAGACCCTACTCTATGATAGGACAATATTTAAGCAGAAAACACATTTCTAACTTTCATTGACCATTTTGAAGCAGTTTTAACCATTTAACTATTAAGGGGTAATATGTTACCTACAAAAACGATGGGGGGGAGTTATCCCTGTGACCCAAAATCTGAGAAGCCTTTCAAGTAAATATCTTACAAAAATCAAAAGAAAATTGAATATTCAGTGTTTTGAGCCATATTTTATTAGAATTAGTCAATGATTAATCAGGATATTGACATGTTGAGACCATATTGGGGTATGTTGCGATTTCACTCGAAGATGCTTTCGTCTTTGGAATCTTAGAACATTTCTTTGGATCACAATAACTTTTCAACTAGCGGAGGTATGATGCTAATTTTTACACCATTATATGCGGGATTCAAAACCAAAGAAGGTCAGAAAACATTAGTTTTTCAGTCTGCGGCTAATAAAAATTTTAGGGGAAGATTGTTGAAGGGTTCAAGAATCGCAGATCTTTTTTGGACCACCCTGTACATGAACCTCCATATGTTAACATCTCATACATCTATAAAGTCAATGTTATAGGTACTTACTTTTCATACCTTTTATCAAGTTCTAAACATGGTCTTATTTCTATATTTGAAAGTTTATTTAACATTTCTTTTCATTTTTACAGCAGGTAAATATACCGGATGACTATTAAAAAAATTAGAAAACATTTTTATAATTCACTTAATCTGTGTTGTTCTTAATCCCTTTTTATTATTTACAGGAGCAATAGACCTTGAAATATGGATAGGTGAATATACTAATACTATATAATTAAAGGCCCCATATAAAGTTTAAACCACCTATATTATGGTCTTACCAACCTTATCTAATTTGGTGAAATTGTTTACATTTAGTTGATCTATCCTATTTGAATTTGACTAGATCTAAGACACATGATATTTTTGATTTGATTGTTTTCTTGTACAAAATGTGTACTTCCTTAAGATATTTCATTGGATTTAAAGGGAGGTCTGCATTCTCTATGCACATATCCTACATCTACCTTGTACATACTACATGCAGGTGGTCGTGTTTCGTTGCGCTCTTTGTACAATGGTAAGTTCATCAGTGTACAGGGTCCTGCCACAGCCTGCAAAGTTGTTCTAGCGGACCAACTGAATGGGGATCAAGAGATTGTTCTGGATGTCAAAGAGAACGATGTGGTTGGAGTCTTGAACTATGCAGAGACTGTTTATCTAGAGAGTAGAAATGGAAATCACATAAACGTGGCTGGTAAATAAACCTGACTTTTCTTACCATTTTGATGTACTCCCTACATACTAGATACTATATCATGCATCATGTACTCCAAGAGACATTGCAGACTACAAGTTCCCATTTGACTTCATAGTTACATAATATTGCATAATACTGTTTAACAATTGATTGTATTTTAGAAAATCGTTCAGTTGAAGCGCAGTGGAGAGACAAATCTGGTTGGCAGGGTTTTCAATTGAGGACTATACCCTCCAGCAGCGGTACAGAGACAATGATGGAAAAAGATAAAGTTTATATATACAATATGTGAGTTGAAAACTGAATGATGGGCATACATACAAAACATTCTTTCTGGAAAATTTGGCATTTGAGACGACATGCTCTAAATTACCTCTATCGAGTTTTGATGCAGAACTAAATGCGATCCAAACATTAAAAATGGATTGTGACACTAAAATAAGAAATTTGAAGAGTATAAGAAAACACATAGAATGTGGAGCATCAACTTGCAGCACAAACAGTATAAGGGAAACAACCCCCATTCTCTTCCATGACAACCATGTACGATTACTTTATCTCAGGATCACTTGTATTACCATGACAACATTACCTGGGAACAAGTGATACAAATATTTACAGCATCAATGATGCCACTTCAAAGGACATTAATCTTAGTCGAACCTTCAATGAAACAGTCAATCAAGTGCTTATTTATAAAGGATTGAACTGTTGAATATTTCAGAAACTTCAATTGCTACCTCGAAGTTCTAGATGATACAACAGTACATTGTTCGCCATGGACCGACAAAGGCTATGATAAGATTGTCTACATGTTTGAAATGACACACCACCAGCCAGGTAGGTATAGAAACATATAAATACCCGAAATGGTCAAGTTACTAATCCTGTACATTAGTTCCTAATAAATTATCAATTACAAAAACAGAAAATATTAACAGTGTAAATGCAGAAACTGAATCCAAGATCAGAGTTCAAACAATTATTCCATTTTCGATTTCCAGGGTGATGATAAAATACCTTGATTAAGTTGAAGCAACTGAAACTGCAATCAAGAAATAGTCACCAGTCTGTAACTACCATCAAACAAGCCGAACTACATTTGGTCCTTTTATAGGGGTCATTGCCTGTTATCCTAAGGGACGACACTTGAAAATAATTGCAATGACTTTTTATAGCCTACTTCCTTTCTAGATTACCAATGGTTTTGGTTGGGCTCAGACCTAAGTGCAACGCCAACATATGAAAATGGTGGTTTATTCTATCGCAATAGGAATTCAACACATGTATGGCAGGATGGTATATTTCAGATAATGCGCAGTCACAACTGGAATTTAGTCCGTCTTAGACTATGGGTCAATCCATTACCTGATAAAGAATATGCAGGTAACTTTTTACTATTGATGTATGCAGGATCTTGAATACATCGTCCAAAGACGTAGATCAAAAAGTCAACTTTAAAAAATATGTCTGTGTTAAATGGATTTTACTACCGTTAACCTCTACAGGAAAGAGGTCCATTGTACCATAGTATTTAGTTTTGCACATGGAACGCCCAAAGTGTTTTACTCCACAGCCTTCCCCTTGACTTGAGATATACTCTGATTTCATTTAGGGTTCCCTATGGTATCTCAACTTGCCCAGAGACTGACCAGCTTGGGTCTGAAGTGGGTTTTAGATTTCCATTACTCTGACACATGGGCTGATCCTGGATGGCAAAGAAAACCTGCGACTTGGAGGTCTCTAAGCTTCGATGCTCTTGTTCAGAGAGTCTATGATTATACCAGGTATAGGGTAACTTTTGAATAATTGTTGATGCAGTGGTTGATTGTTTTGGTTGATTTGATATTAAGTATTCTACTGTTTATAACATTTTGGTGTTTATGGCTACGAAATGACATATATTAACATAAAATAACATATAGTCATCGCCACTCTTCATGAGTCATGTAGTAGTTTCTCCTTTGTATTTTTACGTATACACTATACATGATGTCATTTGTGTTGTTTTTCATGGTAAAGATATTTTTGTTAGAATATTTATTTGATTATCAGCAATGGGCCAATTATGAGTCAAACACATGAAAGTATCAGACTGGTTTAAAAAACATATTACATATAAACACTAGACTATACCTAACCCCTAGAAATGCATAAGATACTCTGTTTGTCTAATTGTATTGTTTAGTATATTTTGAAAGTGCCTTAATTTAGTAACATCTAACATTCAACCGATAAACCATTAATATGGAACAGACAGATAAAAACAAATGACATAAGTATTACTAATAAGCCAAATGGGTTGCTCATGAACACCAAATGCAAGTTATAGTAGAGTGATACAGTATTGTTATGGAGCAATGTTTCCTCTGACGACGCGCGCCAGATGCCAAGCGCAAGCCACGATGGGTCTTAGTTTAGATTCGATATTCAACATAGGTCATGGAACCAAAGACTTAAAGAAATAAAGTTAATAAAATATTTTAGATTCAAAATTACTCGTTTGTTAAAATGTAAAACAATAGTAACAGTATATTACATGGTGGAGCTGCCTAAAAATGTAAAACAATAGTCCTTAACAGTATATTACACGGTGGGGCTGCCTAAATTGTGAAACAATAGTCCATAACAGTATATTACATGGTGGAGCTGCGTAAAATATAAAACAATAGTCCATAACAGTATATTACACGGTGGAGCTGCCTAAAATGTAAAACAATAGTCCATAACAGTATATTACATGGTGGAGCTGCCTAAAATGTAAAACAATAGTCCATAACAGCATATTACACGGCGGAGCTGCCTAAAATGTAAAACAATAGAACATAACAGTATATTACACGGTGGAGCTGCCTAAAATGTAAAACAATAGTACATAACCGTATATTACAGTATATTTAAGCGAGAGAGAAAATGGCATAAATCCTGACACATCCTTCGTAACGAATTTAAGAATATCGAAGCATTTAAAAAATAAAAACAATACTTTAAAATCTTGAAATTACATATGTTTTAGAAGTACCTTGGAACAGTTACGTGCAGTGAACGCATTGCCCACTTTCGTTCAAGTGGGTAATGAAATAAACAATGGCATGTTATGGAACGAGACTGATCAGATTTGTATTGAAGGCGGAAAGCTCTGGCAAGAATGTAAGTAGAATGATGCGAGAAATGTATGTTTGCGTACACTATTGGTTATTTAATATATGAACATTGGGTATTTCACAAAAATTACGTTACTTTTGGTCCTTTCCCTTTGGCACTAGTGCTTATATATTTACAAAAATTGTAAAGTTTAAATTGCTTGAAAGTATCCAAGAGGTATTTTTCTATATGAAAAAAATACATTCCAGGAAATCTTTATAAGTTTGACGAATACGCTCTTTAAGATTATTATCCAAGATTTCAAAAGATTCTCATTGATTTATTTTTTGGAAATGAAAAATTTTGTGAATTACAATTGTGATTTACTTTATTTTCCTGACCGGTCTTTAAAAAATATTTGAGGAAACCAATGGTAAATTGAATGGAAAATATTCCATATATATGAGAAATTATTTTTACTAAATCTTTTGGTCTTACATCGTCTGTTCCTGGTCAAATCATTCTTCTGTTTTCAGCAAACATTTGCCATTTTTCTTCAAAGTACCACAATTGTTAAAAGTAAAAATGTATACCTATGTTCTGTTTCAGGTGGAGCCAACTGGGGTTCATTCACTTCGCTTGTCACTGCAGGGATCAACGCAGTGCGTTATGTTTCCGAAGACATTGATGTCATTGTGCACACTCAGTCTATGGACTGGCTGAATTGGTATACAGAACTCGGGAATCACATGGACATCAACCTCATTGATGTGTTCGGTCTGTCATATTACCCACAACATAATCCCTTTTTGAACAATCTTGAAGCAAGGCTTAAAGCATTGTCTGGTCGGTTTAGAAACCATGATATCCACATAGCTGAAACGACGCACCCCTATCGACACGTTGAAGATCCCAATTTTCGCTATCCAGAGACTGCGGAGTTTCCGTTTACTGCTCAAGGGCAACAGGATTACGCTCAGGGGCTCATCAATGTCGTTAAGTCAGTGAGAAGGGCTACTGCTGTCACATGGTGGGGAGGAGAGTGGTGTCGACCAGGAGACACTAACTTTCATGTTTCATCTTCACATTTTGATAGCGAGGATGGGTGTGTTGTTAACCCATCGGTGTACAATATGAAACCCGGATATCATTACTAATACTATAGTAGCTAAGCGTCACTGAAAGCATATTATGTTGATTGAAATAAAGAATAAATGATTGCCGTTCTCAAAGATGTCACTGGTATTTAAGATTTCTTGGAATTATAAACTGCCTTGGATTGTATCTGATACTGATATCTGATTCTGATACTCATCATATCATATCACATGTTTGCAATTTATTTGATTGGTCATCAACATGTTCAAGATAAACTGTACGGGGCTTGATCAAAAGTAAGCTCTAACTATCTCATGGTCTTCTAAAAAGAAGCTAAAGAAGGGCATGATACATGTATCTCAGTGAGTAGTTTATCAGATCTAGCGAGCCCTTTACTAAAAATTGTCTCAATTTTAGAATATTTTGGGCTCATTTCATGCATCGACAGTATGTATGTATGCTTATTTAGTGTGAGGAAAACTAAGAGACGTTTTACAATCATAATTTGGTCATAATTTAAAGGGGAATTCACACATTTGTTGCAAAATTGTGCACTTTGAACCGTGGATAACTTCACCAATTGATAACATATCGCGGAACTTTTGAAGGATATTCTATTTGGGAAAGTAAAGAATTTTTTCCAAATTCATATTTTTCTGATAAAATTTAATAAAATCCAAACTCAGTATAAATAGTGTAAAGTCAAATAATTTCCATTTCATGGCATTGCTTTATGAACTCTTTATATTTGTATGAGATTGAGAATTAATCTCATAAAAGTTTAAGCCTGTTCAATATAAAATCCTTGGATGTTTTAAAATTTATAATGGCAATTGTGTAATCTATAATGGATGGATATAATATGAATGCCCCAAGCCTCAATATAGTATAACTGTTGATTGGTAAACTCTTTACATACAAACTCAAAAGTTTTCATAGTTGCCAAAATGGGCAATGTGTTCCTTTAAAAGTTCTCTATTGTATGTTAAATTCGACGCTCATAAAACACCGTGATCTTTTAAGGATTTAAGCATATCCAGCAGCATCAAATATAGAATATATGCTTAGGATAGTCTTTAACAGTCATTATGGTACACATTTGAAATTGTGTCATAGTTGGCAGAATGTCACTGGAACGGATTAATATTGTGTTAAGGATTACATACATAGCAGCCGCATAATGCCAGGAACAAGTAGGTTTTTATTTTCTGCATACTGTTTAAATATGTCTTAAAAGTTTTGAAAGTTTTTAAATCACAAATGATCTAGTAACGTCAGAAATCACATGAAACCGCAAGTGATACATGTAATACTCAAATCAATATAAATCAAATGCTGTAGTATTATTTTAAAGTGATTATTTCTTGTGCAATTGTGTCATTCATGTTTTATCCGATGAGCAAAGATAATGACGATAATTCTTGCAACAAGACTACACAATTACACATCCCCATATACAATACACATCCTCATATACAATACACATCCCCGTATACAATACACATCCCCATATACAATGCATATCCCCGTATACAATATACATCCCCATATACAATACAAATATCCCCGTATACAACACACATTCCCGTATAAAATACACATCCTATATACAATACACATCCCCGTATACAATACACATCCCCATATACAATACACATCCTCATATACAATACACATCACCATATATAACACACATCCCCGTATACAATACACATCCCATATACAATACACATCCCCGTATACAACACACATCTCCGTATACAATACACATCCCCGTATACAATACACATCACCATATACAACACACATCCTCGTATACAATACACATCCCCATATACAATGCACATCCCCGTATACAACACACATTTCCGTATACAATACACATCCCCATATACAATGCACATCCCCGTATACAACACACATCTCCGTATACAATACACATCCCCGTATACAATACACATCCCCATATAAAAGAGACTTGTTAGAAAACTAATTATTGAAATACCTGGTGATCTTACAAATGGCAACTCATAAATGGTAATCATGTTTATAAGAATGACAACATATGCCATTAAAACATTAAATATATCATGTTAAAATCTACAACAGATATAAGAAGAAACAGTACATCCGCTGTATTGACTTTTGCTAGATTCCCACTCTTCTGTGGCTCTTTATAATCGATAAAGGTGTAAAACCGATGATTGTTGTTACAACTTCACCATGGTGATGTGTAATATCCCCACCGTGATCATTTCACTGTATCATCCAAAATTGGACACACATGGACAAAAATAAAATAATCATTTATAAAATATTATATACTGCACGTGCACATGGAATACGATTATGAAAACACAGCGATAAAAAGGTGTGTATGTTTCAAATACTAAATAAAATATTTAAATACCAAGAGGATGAAGGGATATGCAGCAAGGTACATGCAAGATTTAAGACAATGTAGAGCCATACCGTTACTAACATTGGAGATAGTAGCACTGAGTAAAACTGTCAACGATGTTAAAGTGAACTGGATGAAATGAGAGTGAGCGAGAATAACAGACTAAAAGATCGGAATACAATAAAAGTTGCATGAGTTATACCAATTTTCTTAAATTTTCTGTCTGAGTTTACCCAGTTATATAAAAAAAAATTAATCATGATATAATTACCTATAACGCATTTTCAGAATAAGAAATTATGGGGTCGATATGTACTAAATCCGACTCTGTGAACACTGACAATGGAGATGGAGATGCTGAGACAAAAGAGAATTGCCATGACAACCAGCAGCTCGTGGAAAGCAGTCCTGAGGTATATATTACTTCCATGTATACATGGTATAGTTATCAAAGCGACAGCAAAGACTATTTTAAAAATGTAATAAATATGGGGAAAATAATTGATTTTTCTGGTATATTATAGTTATTATTATGGTTATTCAAATGGCAGCAATTAAAGAATATGTATATCTAAAAAATGTAGGAACCGTATGGAAATTTTGTAATCTTGGGAAAAAAATAATAATCTGATCAAATGAATATTGCAGAGTGTTAATTTAGCATAAGAATGAATGTTAAATTAATTGAAAACAAATACATGTACGATGATATCTCAATGTTTAAGTTCCCTAGATCATTTCCTTGAGTATATAACATAACAGACATATTTAACCCAAGATAAAAAACAAGATTGTTTAACCAATTGCAAGCCTGGGAAAGAACAATTCAATTGATAAGATCTAGAGCCCTTAAGACTATGGATTTCAGTAGATATTGTACATCATTTATATTGGAGACATACTGTTAATTAATACGCCATACATCACTGATCAAATATTTGCCATTTCTACTTTACATAGTGATTAAACTTTCTCCCGTCTGTTGGCAAAATTAATTATTTCTGAAGATTCATTTATTAATCCTCATAATACTCCAACGATACTAATTAGAAGGAAGTGCTATCTCACCCCTCCCCCACCAACCTCCCATTCCATATCATTCTCGGGCTCTTTTCCATATTTCACGGGCCTTCCCACACACACCAAAGTGTTTGCGATAATTTGTGATGAATCTTCACTTTTACTGAGGCCTAGGGCATAATATATGCGACAAATTTAAGTTGAACAAGTCTAATTAGCTTGTTGTAAAATACTTTTTTCATTGCATTTAATGCCATGGTATGTTATGCATGTAGCGCACCCATATGTCGCTATTGTATAGTATATTTTTCAAAGTTGTTCACTAATTTTATTCCATCTGTATTTTAGATTCCAACAATACCTAATGCCATAAGTTACATCATGGATGTTGAAGTGAATAGGGAGGCTCCCTTATACCTGCTCGCACTATACTACATAACAAAACTTGCCGAAACATATAAAAATCTCCTGTTTCCAAACATCGGCAAAACCCTGGGCGACTTAACAGAAAACTATTTGGAATATCGTGAACTTTGCGAAGATGTCTATCACGATCTCCCATACATTGAAAGAACAGTTGAAAACATTGGAGCCGACTTACATCTCGTGATGCAAACTAAACGTATAATTAGCCAACTCGCATGCGATTATCTCATGCAGTCCAGTGAAAAGAAGCAACTGGATCTTGACCCCAGTATTGCCAATGACAGTGATAATTTAGTTGAGTTGGTCGCGAACTATAACATCTACAGCACATTTTACGAGGATACACTGAAGTTAATGATTACTGATATTGAGCGGAAAATATTATGGGACAAATGTTCAATAAATAACAAAGTAAGTTGATCTTCTACCTTTTTTAGCAACCTGTCGTATAGTTAGATCAATACACTCTACTATACCTAACTCCTAGAAATGCAGATTATATTCTGTTTGTCTAATTGTATTGTTTAGTTCATTTTTGAAAGTAACATTACATTACATTTCCTACACGTCCATATACAGGCCCGTAAGACACTTTTCTCCAAGGGGGGTGCGGTTTTTAGCTTACTAAAGAGAATATAAAATTGTCAATTTTTTTGCCGCGTAATTCAAATCGCGTAAGTCAGAGGGGGGGGGCTCAGTTACTCCCTATATTGGTTTGGAATTAACAAATGCAACTTCCAGAAGTTCCAATTGTTTTGTGGGGGGTGTGAGGAGTGGTCCACTCCCCCTAGAAAATTTTACAGTTTTGAGATACTATTTGGTGCTTTCTGGGCACTTTCAAAGTGTAAGTTTCCAAGAAGTACGGCACCACCATGGGAATAAGAGTTGAGTGAATAAAAAACTGAGTATTCAGGGGGGTCTGGGGGTTCTCCCCCAGGAAAATTTTGTAATTTGGTTGTATTTGGAGCGAATTTGCAACCATCTGGTACGCCTGTGCGTTATGAGTCAATAAGAAAAATGTGTATTGTTTTCAAATTCTTTTGGGGGTGTCAAAGTGGATGAGAGGGTGAAGTGGGGTGTGGTGCCAGTAGGGGAGCAAGGGGTTGTCCCCCAGAAACATTGACCATATCAAGGTGCTATTTGATCATGTCTGGGCACTTAAAAAATGTCTGAGACAATACATGAAATTCAGAATATTTTCTTTTGTTTTGTGGGGGATGTGAGGGGTGGCTAACTCTCCTAGAAAATTTTACAATTTAAAGATGATATTTTGTGCTTCTGGGCACTTTTAAAGTGTATTAGTCAATAAAAACATTGAAAAACAATCACAATTTTTTTCAAATTTTGGGGGTGTCCAAGGGTGGGGGGGGGTGCCAGAGGGGGAGGTGGGGCTGGGGTGCCAGAGGGGGAGGTGGGGCTGGGGTGCAAGAGGGGAAGGTGGGGCTGGGGTGCCAGAGGGGGAGCAAGTGTTTGTCCCCCATATCAAAATTTACAATATCAAGGTGCTATTCGATGAAGTTTGGGCACTTTAAAAGTGTCTGTGCCTAAAAGCGCCTATTTGCCAAGAAAATTTTACAATTTTAAGATACTATTTGGTGCTGTCTAGGCACTTTAGTCAATAAAGTCAATAAATTTTTTTTTTGGGGGGGGGGTGTTTAGGGGGGGGGGGCTGCCAGAGGGGGAGGTGGATTGGGGATGCCAGAGGGCGAGTAAGTGTTAGTCTTCCAGAATCATTAACTTTATCAAGGATGATGATGATGTGTCTGAGACAGTACATAAAACAAATTCAGAACTTTTTCATTGTTTTGTTTGGGGTGTGAGGGGTGGCCCACTCCCCCTAGAAAATTTTACAATTTTACAACTCTATTTGGTGCTTTCTGGGCACTTTCAAAGTGTATGCGTCAATTAAAGAATTTGAGAAAATCACAATTTTTTTTTTTTTTGGGGGGGGGGGTCATGGAGGGGGGCGCCAGAGGGGGGGGGTCTATGCAAGTGCAAGATGCAAGAGGGGGAACAAGTCCCCCAGAAACACTAACTATATCAAGGAGCTATTTGATGATGTCTGGGCACTTTAAAAGTGTCTGAGACAAAACACTAAAATAAATTTAGAACTTTTCCATTGTTTTGTGGGGGGTGTGAGGGGTGGCCAATACCCCTAGAAAACTTTACAATTTTAAGATGCTATTTGGTGCTTTCTGGGTACTTTCAAAGTGTATGAGTCAATGAAAAAAAAATTACAAAAAAAATATTTTTCAAAAAAAGTTTTTTTCAAATTTTTTTGGGGGTGACAAAGGGGGGTGCGGTCGCACCCATCGCACCCCCCCCATCTGACGGCCCTGATATAGGTACATGTAGCTTAAAGCCCAGTACACCAATGGGGCAAGTTGGGACCTCCATATACATAACATTGCGTGGGACCTCGTGGGACTTCGTCGGATTTTGCCCCATCTCGTCCCATGGGGTCTCACGTGGGACTCGGTGGGATTCGATGGGGCAAGATGGGGCTTCGTGGGATTCGATGGAGCAAGATAGGACTCGATGGGGCAAGTGGGATTTTACCCCATTGGTGTATACTAGGCTTTAAGAATAAAACTTTTAAAAGTGTAGGATGTTGAAAATTTCAACGTTTTCTTTACAATCCTAATTTCACTATAGGCTATCTAAAAAACTAATTGAGATATCCGATAAAATATCAAAGTTCACTGAGGATTCAAATCCTTTAATACAATTGCAAAATGCAACCTCTATTTAACAATGTTAACAACACTGATATTAATTGACATTTCATGTTGAAAAGTCTTATCAGAAACATCACCTTAATGAACATTGGGTATATCTTGTTATTCTCTCCAACAATGTTAATTTTCCCTCAGGGATATATCATACACACTCCCCTCCTTAAGTTTGGCAATCGAAGGTACTCATCGGATAGCATTTCAATCAATCTGTCAATGTTTAAACCTTAATTTTATTCCTTAATTACAACATTTCGAAAGTTTATGGCTCGGAGGAATCAACAAACATAAACAGCTTTTTTAATGAGCCATCCAAAAATGCCGGTTTTCAAAAAACTTCCAGTTGTCAAACTTATGGAGGGGAGTGTACCTGCTAAATCGCCCGGAAAATATGTAAAACAAAACATCCTTTCATTTAATCCTCATTGTACAATTTTTATTGATTACAGCTAGCTGTGTTGATTCTTGTCTGTTTTCTTTCAGGAACTAAGAAAATATCTTGAGAAAAATAACCCCGAGTTACTGAGAGAATTTGATGAGACACTGATGGAAAGTCAACGAAGTGTTAATAAAACCGATCAAAATGATGAACCCTCTAAACCTCCAGCAGAAAGCAATATGGAATAAACTCGCGAGAATATTAAAAACGAAAAGCAAAAGGACAAAATTAAGAGGGAACAGCTACATCCCAGATCATATTTTCTCAGCGTCATATTGAGTTTAAATGTAGTTCCTGATATAAGAATACTAGTGGCGACGGGTTTTGTTGGGGTTTGTTTTTGCAGCGCCTCGAGTAGCTACATTGATTTCTCCTCTTGTGCAACTGTACATGATTTCTACAAATAAAAAGAACATTGTACGTATGTCAACTTTTTCTCCATAATTACACACCTTTCACTTAAAGTGGCGGCAAGGAACAGAGAATATATGTTAAAGGAATAATGTAGAAATGACTTAAAGTGGCAACGAAGAATAGAAAATGTATTGCAGAATTAATAGTCATTGGAAATAAAAGAGGAGACCAGTCAGACATGACATGCATGTACAGGGTGGGCCAAAAAAGGCCACTTTTTCTATAACTATAACTTTTTGAATTATTTGAATAAAATATGTCATCAGCGTCTCACTTAAACATGTGATGTGCCATGAGAAAAAAATAATAATTTGCAAAATGTTCCTGAACTGATACGGCGCCCTGATGACTACCAAGCTAATAGTCCTGATGCAATCCCCAGTTAGTACATGTATAGGGTATGGGAAGGTCTCCAGCAGATGGTATGAAGGCACCCGATCTAAAAAATTACCCAACTAAAGCTGGCAATTAAGACATGTTGAGAGAAACATTTCAATGATACTGCAATATCAGCAAGGCAACTTACATGACTTAGACTAAAATCTACATCAAAGAAGGCGGTGGACCAATTGAAGTCCTCTTTTAGATCAAATATAATCCAAGTTGAAGGACTTGTTACATCACTTTTTAACTTAGGACCCTTGACACTATATAAGTGCAAAATTTGAGGTATACAGGTTGGAAAATAAAAAAAGTAATAGTGTTTTGAAAAAAGTGGCGTTTTTGGCCCACTCTGTAGAAACTCCTTTATTGCCCTGAGGTCTTAATCTTTGATTTTAAGTTTGAAGCTCCAAGTCAATTTAAAAGCTTGTTGCTGTGCCATTATAACACTATTACGAATACTGCATGAGTTACATGCTTTCTATTGTTTTGTGATATAAAGCTATTTACACTTTTCATCTCTCTTAGTTTCCATTCTTTTTAAGAGCTTTTTAATGCTTAAACCATGTTCAACTTTCAATAAAGAACGATTACAGATGATTATGACTGCATGAATCATTACTTTTTACTAGTCTCAGGAACAATATTTGCTTTGTCCGACCATAATCTACAATATCTATTGTTTAGGCCATTCCTTGAGTATCACGTGTGTGTCTGATGAGAGATCTCGGGTGAGAGACATGGCTTCTAGTTATAGTATTTTTATCAGAGATTTTGTAAGCAAGCGAGATGATGAGTCTATAGATTTTAAATCACTCTTTGGGTACAATTTCCCGAAAAGTAAATTCATGGAAGGAAGGAAAAAGAGACGGAATATATTTTGTAAGCATATAATTAGAGATAACCTGGGAGTGATTTCTAGGAATAGTTGTCAGCATTTTATTATATCTTTTGCTCATAATGTTTCATGCCATGTAATGTAACAAAAATGCCACTTTTTCAAGACACCATACATACACCAGATTTTGCAGTTATATAGTGCCAGGGGTCCTAATAAGATAATGTAACAAGTCCTTCATTGGATTGTATTTGATCTAAAAGAGAAGTTCAATCGGTCCGCCACCCTCTTTGATGATAGCCTAAGTCTTAGTCCCAATGCTGATATAGCAGTATCAATGAAATGTGGTCTAAGTTTCTTTCAACCCGTCTCAGCTTTAGTTGGGATATTTTTGAGATTGGGTGTCTTTATACCATCTCCTGGAGATTCTGTTGTCTTCTGAACTATATTTGTTCGCAAATATGTACATTGTCTTGAACATAGGATACTGATATACGTTTGTGATAAAATGTCGTGGGAATTCTGCCTAAAACGTGTGATATAAGGAAAAAAGAACAATCGTACCTTAGACGTTCCGACATTTTGTCACCGAAACGAACCGTTTCGGTAACCAGCGTAATCGAGTGGATCATCAGTGTTGTATATATTTTTACAATGATACCGCCCATATGGCATAATTATCCCTTCCGTTGAATGATGTTTGATGTAATGCTTTTTTCTTCATAAGTCTATTCACAGTTCCATGACTCCAACCCTTTGCTGATAATTCCTTTGATTCATTGTCAACCCCATCCTTTCACCTTAAACGATGGTAGCCATATCGGTTTCACTGAAAGGCATCGTTAATCCTTCCAAATTGAAATTATGGACAGAATGGAAAAGGAATTTGCAAAATTTATCATGTATTTTTTCAGGAATAAAGTCTTCATAACAGCTCTATAATTTGAGGTCTCCTTTACTAATCTTTCTGTCAACTTTCAAGTGAAACATAGACCAAAATTCACTTCCGTATACTAATACACTAAGTACGACATTTGAAAACAGTTATGGCAATCTTAAGTAAGTAACGAGTATGCCATTCAACCGTACGGTCACCACAATTCATGATAGCAGTTTTCCCCTATTGAAACATCGTGTAAAACAGTGTAACCGACTTGACTTCATTTCCTCTACCTCTAATTTCCTAAAAAAAAATTCCTCAATTACAATAGGTCAATTTTTTGAAAAGCGGCATTCCCATTTAAACGAATGGGAAGTGGTAGTTTGCTACAAGTCATATATGATAAAATTTCCATCCATCCAAGTTCAAGTCAAGTAGACAATTACTTTTCTCACCTTATCTAATACACAATAGATGTGTTTCGTCAAAACTTGAAAAAGCACAGGTGAAAAATGATTTCCAAAATTGACTTTGAAGCTCTGTACATTTAAAGATGATTTCATAAATAGATATACTGGAATTTGAGCTAGCTCATCGTGATAACGCCCTAACCCTTATGTGTGAGACTTTTAAGATATTTTTCGGTTGATTTGCCGAAAACTCATACACTTTGACTTCTTATAGTATTTTTCAATTAAGGTCCCTGTTCGTAATTTTTGGCTCACACAGTGACCCTATGGAATCGATCAGGCGTGCGTCCGTCCATTGGTCCGTCCGTCGGTCCGTCCGTCAACATCGGCCGCACAAATTAAAACTGCTTTTCAGATTGAGTCATATCCAAATTCATTTTATGCAAAATAATATTATGTCCATGTGACCTATCATCGCCATTTCCCAAGTTCGCCCGGTTTCCGAGAAATTGCTGATTATGACGTCAAAAAGTCAAATTTTCTGTAAATACTACACTTTGTTGAAGTAGCACTTTCAAATAACTTGAAGTAGTTGCTGTATGCAACTTATGTTCTCTGAAGACTTCAAAGCTCTTGAAATTACAGTTTTTGGTATTTACTCTTTAAAATTTGACAAGAAGTAGGACTTGGTCATTTTGAAGTAACTTTCTCATGTATAAAGTCAATCATCATTGGCTGCACAAAACACCGTGTGAGCACAGGACCGTAGATCCTTTATTTGTACTGACATCATTTTATATACAATGATCTTCAAAATGATGTACTAAGATACATATGTTGTATAAGCTTCATGGGTAATGGTCTTTTCTTTTCTTTTGTAAACCCTTAGTTACATAACATGTAAAGCTACTCAACTTTATTTCTAGGTTTTAGATATTTTTTTAAATACAATAACAAAACAGAGCAGCTGCGTTATTATCATGTCTTATACTATAAAGTATTATAAGTTACAATAACTTATGGTTGGAAAATGAATGTTTTCAACCAACCAATTTGTACTGGCAAGTTAAAATTAATTTACATTTTGCCCGAAGCGTAATAATTTTATACTTTTATAATAAATATTTCGTTTTTAAACAATTACAACTCTTTACCTAAGCCAGATCGTTATCAAAATGTTACTTTTAACTGCAAATGGACCTCCTTTGCTTAAAGTCCCCGTCTAAAGTTTGAAAATATTTTTTTATCATTCATTTACCATTTGTCAGGACTTAAAAAGTAATTTTAAAGATTTTTGAACAAAAAAAATTTTTTTGTGAGTATTTCATTTCTCAAATATTCAAATTTCCCGCCATTTTTCAAAAAAAGTTGAAATTTCTTAATCATCAAATATTTCTTAATGCATTTCAAAAAAGATTATCTTTTTAACACCAATGCAAAGATTGAACAAAGGACACACTATTTCAATAATAAAATGCCATATTTAATGGGCCACTTCAATGTTTTAGCATATCAAAAATATTTTGAAACATTAGTGATGTCACTAAGGTACCAAAAACTTTTTGAAAAAAATTGAAATTTTTTTTTCGATGCCAATCTTTTCTTAATATGTTAGACTTTCATAAAAAACCAATGTTGATTGTCTAACCAGGTCAAAAGGAAGAATAAATTATGTTTTAGATATCATTGTACCATTGGTTTCTATGAGAACTGAAATTTTGAAATGCATTTTTCTCAGAACCATTTTCATGCACTGATAAGTTCATTTCTCGCTTATTTATGAACCGATTTTCTTAATTTTTTCGGCGAAAAACATGGAAGGATGAATGCTATGCATTGGTATGAATTGTGGCTAATTAGAAGATATGAGTGACCTCTAAAAGTTGGTTTTAAATAAATTCACAAATTTTGGAACAAAAAGTCTATCAAAAACCACATTTTGAAATTTAAAAAAAAGTTTCACATCTTTGATAACATTAGGTAAGACTACAATATAAGCCAAAGTGGTTTAAACATTATATGGGGCCTTTAATGAGTCATGCGTATTCGCTTTGGCTAAATATCCCATCATTCAACAGATTTCTTAAATCAACCAACCAGCACCGTGGTGTTAGAATACAGATGACACGCATTGTGGGTACAGTCTTCTTCTACATTCATATGATTTAAAAGTCATGTGATAGACACATTTGAACCTCGTTCTCGTGTTTGCCTTATTTGTATTGCTTTTCTTTAGACAGTTGACAATTTATGGCATTGTACGACGGGGCTATATTTTAAAACCAATGTATTTGTAGATAGTGAAGTGTACATGTGTGTGTATTATCTGCATCTCGGAAAAGTACACTTATTCAAAAGTAAAAACACTTTCCCAGCAAACACTCTTTGTGCGACCTTGTCGTTTCACAGTTTAATCCGATAACCAGCCGATGACAATTTATGTTTTTTCGAATCATTCTTATTTTGAATGAGCGAAACGTTTAGAATTGAATAGTATAGTTTCTAAATAGCTGAAAAGTGCTGACATAATAGATGTCACCCTTGTTTGTCTTTGATTTTCTAGGGCCAGACCTCCACTCACTCCAATGCTAGAAACTTGCAACAGTCACTTAATTTCATGATTTATCAAAGAGTGTTGGTTGAATCTGCCTGAAACTTGAATGGCATACTATTGGATGACCCTGTCAATATACATATTGTGATTAACCATGAAAATATTGGTTGTCATACGAATAAACCAAGGTTTTAATGAATTTCAGCATTGCACCAATGTAGATTTGGCCCAAGTTTTTTTAAAATGTCATGGACAATGATTTAAATGACATAACTGTTTAAATCAAAGCTATAATTGGAGAATATTTGTCACTGAATCCAAATATGCTATCAAAAATAAAGAAAAGTAATTCATTAGAGGAAAAAAGTGCAAATCTCTAATAATCTCATGTAAAAACGAGAATTAGCGAGATTTCAAAGCTATTTAGAAACTCCTTTATTGTAAAGGGTCGCTGATACTATTCCCCGGGACTATTCCATTCAATGAACAATTATTATTGGATGTAAATGGGCATGTTTTGGTAAGATGACTTATCAAAACCAAATAACAACAGCTATACTCAGAAAAAATACAAAACAAAATGAAAGAGTATCCCAAATTATGAAGGAAGACTATTTTTAAGAAAGCATACCATCCACTCTTAATTGATTCATTTAATCATGTACATATAGGTTATTTCATGCTTGATTTTCAATATGAATTTTATTCCAGGGTAATATAATATTTACCGAGGTCAATGTCATATTTCCAGTGGAATAAAATTCATATTGAAAATCAAGCATGAAATAACCTTTTTATTCCATAATTTAATTTCTGAGAATTCAAGGGAAAAGAAATATTTAAGAAAATTGACAAATTGAAATTTTTTGAAAAAAAATGAAAAAAATGATTCAAACTCGAATATTTTTTAAATAAATGAAAATCTTTGGAAAATAGCAATTTTTTGAAAAAATAAAAATTTCTGAAAAAAAATAATTCTTCGAAAATTGGAAAACTCTATTTTTTTGAAATAAATGAAATAATTGAAAAAAATGATTTTTTGAAAAAAAGAACTTTTATGAAAAAAATAGGAACAATATGATTTTTCGAGTATATATGATTTTTTTACAGGGACAATATGATTTTTCGAGTATATATTATTATTTTTACAGGGACAATATGGTTTTTCGAGGATATATGATTTTAAGAGGGATAATATGATTTTATTTTCCAGGGGAAACAGTAGTATTATGGAATAAATATAGGTTATTTACTGGGAGGGATTGAATATGGGTTTTATTCCGAGGGACAATATGATATTGACCGAAGGGTAATATGATATTGACCGAGGGAGCGCAGCGACCGAGTGTCAATATCATATAACCCAAGGTCAATATCATATTTTCCGAGGAATAAAACCCATATTCAATCCCGACCAGAAATAACCTATTTATTCCATAATACACCCCTCTAAATTGCTACATTTGGATAATGCAAAAACGGGAAAAAATAACCGGGAAACCTAAAATAGGTTAATATGCTCCAATACGATTTTTCCCGGGGACAATACGATTTTTTCATGTAATACGCTCTAATACGATTTTTTCCCGGGGACAATACGATTTTTTCAAGTAATACGATTCAATACGATTCTTATTCCTTCATATTTCCCTGGGAAAACAGTAGTATTATGGAATAAAAAGATAATATTAGCCCGACTGAGGTGCATATATCAATCCCATTTTTATGTATTTTATTTTCATTTGGAATTGAGTTCAAATGCTTAACATAGCATTGTTCTATATATCAGCTTTTCCAAATCTTCTTGGAATCTCTCCATTAAGCCTGAGGGCATCAATTTGATCTTTGTCTGCACACAGATTGCAAACGACAATCTAAAAACAAAAAAGTAGGTTTAAGTATATCATTAATCAATGGTCTATTATTAAAAGAAAAGTAGAAGCTGTCTTTGTAGTATCGCATACATTCAGTTCCAAATTGTATACTGTTTAAAGCTAGGATGTACAAAAGTTTTGGTCGGTCTTGGCCTCGTTTCAGAAACCCAAACGATTCAATAACTGCTATTACATGACATATTAAAAATATCCAGGATATTTGTTGTTAAAATAACATGCATTGAGTTTTTAATTTTGTTAAGATCAAAATCGACTCTTACCTCGTCAATGTTCCCGTCCAGGCCTTCACCAATAATCATTGGATTTTTGCTGAGTCGAATTGTTGGTTCAGGATCTCCGTTCTCCCTGAACACATCTTAAACATATGAAATCCAAGTGTATTTAAAGAGGAATTTTCCGTAAATATCAGCTAGATTAATCTGCTTTTGTCAATTAATACTATTTGATTTGATGTTAAATAATAGTAAGTTATATTAGGCAATTAAAAATCATTCTTGTGTTCCCGCAGGCTTTAAAATTTTAAGAAGCGTTTTCATTTTTTATGAATACCGCTGATTTTCTAATTCCTTTCCAAACCCGAACAACCTGTCGAGCAGTTGTATATTTGGTCAATCTAGTATGCTTTGTAATTTTATATACCTCTCTTAAATCTGGTATTTCTCATTAGCTCTTCAGCTTCGTCTAACCTTCTGTCTAGTACACTATACCTGCAGATCAAATCAAATAGAAGTTCTTACATTTGGCTTTGGAGAAAGGATCTAAGCTTGTGTTGTCCATGATATCATAGAGTAACAATACGAGACGCATCGGGAGAAATACCGAAAAAATGTATACTACAGAACAGCCGATATCAGGCAGCAATTAAATTAGTAATTAGTAATTTACTGGGACCTTGAAGTAAAATATCATAAATCAGTTCACGATTTTGATATTGGCATTGCCTGATCGAAATAAAAAATATGGGACTTTATATCCATGGTTGTATATTTGCGTACATGGGCGTATTTTCTCTTTTTTCAAACGTTTATCTTTTTTTAAAGTCCCCGTCTAAAGTTTGAAAATATTTTTTTATCATTCATTTACTATTTGTCATGACTTAAAAAGTTATTTTAGAGATTTTGGGAAAAAAAAAATTGAAAAAAAAGTTGTGAGCATTTCGTTTCTCAAATATTCAAATTTCCCGCCATTTTTCAAAAAGTTGAAATTTTTTAATCATCAAATATTTCTTAATGCGTTTCAAAAAAGATTATCTTTTTAACACCAATGCAAAGATTGAATAAAGGACACTCTATTTCAATAATAAAGTGCCATATTTAATGGGCCACTTCCATGTTTTAGCATATCAAAAATATTTTGCAACATTAGTGATGTCACTAAGGTAACAAAAACTTTTTGAAAACATTTTTTTTAGATGACAATCTTTTCTAAATATGCTAGACTTCAATAATAAACCATGCTAATTGTCTAACCAGGTTAAAAGGAAGAATATATTATGTATTAGATATCATTGTACCATTGGTTTCTATGAGAACTAAAATTTTGAAATGCATTTTTCTCGGAACCATTTTCATGCACTGATGATTCGGCAAAAAACATGGGAGGATGAATGCTATGCATTGGTGTGAATTGTGGCTAATTATAATATATGTGTGACCTCTAAAAGTTAGTTTTAATTAAATTCACAATTTTTGGAACAAAAAGTCTATCAAAAACCACTTTTTGGAATTTAAAAAAAAAGTTTCACATATCACACTTTGATAACATTGGGTAAGACTACAATATAAGCCAAAGTGGTTTAAACTTTAGATGGGAACTTTAAACATTTCTTCAAATTTCCTTTTTTTCAATTACCGGAAGTGGCTAGGTACACCCACCGGGAGGGGGAGATGTGGATGTGGAAACCTCTAAATTAGTATATAGTACATCCTACCAACTTATCTCCCCAAAACTCTACTGGGCGTAGAATAAATATTGATACAATGCAGAGACATTAAAGCATTCTCAGTGATGGTAATTTAATCCTTCTGGCTGTTTGATACAATCTGGAATTTGATGGGAAACACACATCTTTATTCATTTTCCAATTTTGTACACTGGCGGTCTATTCAATATTCTTGGGTTTCACCATTTGGCATGTGCCTATATAATTACTAACCTATACTCTCCTTCCCTATCTGGGTCATCCTGCTTCGGGTCCTCATCTTCAAAACGTGACTTCAATTTAGTCAGTTTGACAAAAAGTTGTTCGAAACATTTTCTCGAGTCAGCTGTAATCAGAGAACTCCAATATTTAGTCCGTGGTAAGATATTCGAATAATTGTTTAGAAATTAATTGTATATGATGTATCAGGTTAAATAAAGCAGACTCATCGCCGAAACTACGAGTTTGGAATATTTATACCATCTTCACTGTTATACATAGTTGCCTAGTTTCTAAAAGTTGAAACTTTATTTCAGCATTATTCTTTGATCTAAGTTAATAATATAGGGCAAACAATTATCACTTCCGATAAAATTTGGAGACCAATTTGAATCTGTAACTTCCACATCGGATAAGATATTGTAACAAAATATTTTTTTTGAAAAATTATTATAGTTTTCCATTTGGATAGTCTCAAGATTATGGCCATTAAATACAACAACTTCACTTGTTCCCTTATTTTACCTGGTCCTTTGGTGATAATTATATTTATTTGTGACCTTTTACAATGTTAAAGTAGGTGGCTAGCGATCAAATTATATTTTAGTAAGTAATTTCGTTTCACGTCCATTATTGCGATCTTGTAATTTCGTTCCGCAAATTAGTGCTCATTTAGAGTAATTTCACTACGCCACAACTTCGAATCTTCAAGCGCCGTACTTATCGCAAAAATACAGGTTAGTTAGTCCATTTGAATTATTAATTTAGATTTATTAAGATAGATAACAATATTAGCGATCATTTCTGTAAATTAGGGGTAGCAATAATGTTTAGTTTTCAAGATATTTGGTCGTGAATTTGAAATGTCAATTCAATCTCGTCTGCCATTTCGGCGGTCATTTTATTTCCTGTTCCATTAAATAACTTGCTCTAGCCACCTATTGTGAATGTATTTCCACACTTTATCATTATATTTCTTATCTGTATAATTAACTCGCAATTACCAACCATATTTGTGAGTTATTTTCACGTCTGTAGGCCCGTAATCGTAATTTAAACATTTGGTTAATCAGTTTGCGCCAATATTTTGTATTGCGCGAGTACGTCATCCGGGCAACCTTCTAGAGTATATAAGCTGAGAAAGTTGACACTCGGGAGAGACTTGATTTAGCTTTTGACTGGTACAGAGCTCCGCTCGTGATATTTTGTAAATTTTGACAACTTTGACTTTGTTGGACTTTGACATTTTCTGTACATGATAACTTGGACTTAGAATATTTTAATCAATTTTTAATATTCTTTGACTTTGTTCTGTTCACATGTACCTGGCTGTAGACGAATCTACTTGAGGTTAAACTTTGGCAAAGTCAATTTAGTTGGACTTGTACATTTTTCTGTAGATGATAACTTGGACTTAGAATATTTTAATCATTTTTAATATTCTTTGACTTTGTTCTGTGATACATCTACCTGGAGTTGGAGTTGTACATTTTTCTGTAGATGATAACTTGGACTTAGAATATTTTAATCATTTTCAATATTCTTTGACTTTGTTCTGTGATACATCTACCTGAAGTTGGACTTGTACATTTTGCTGTGGATGCTAACTTGGACTTAGAATATTTTAATCATTTTTAATATTCTTTGACTTTGTTCTGTGATACATCTACCTGAAGTTGGACTTGTACATTTTGCTGTGGATGCTAACTTGGACTTAGAATATTTTAATCATTTTTAATATTCTTTGACTTTGTTCTGTGATACATCTACCTGAAGTTGGACTTGTATATTTTGCTGTGGATGCTAACTTGGACTTAGAATATTTTAATCATTTTTAATATTCTTTGACTTTGTTCTGTGATACATCTACCTGAAGTTGGACTTGTATATTTTGCTGTGGATGCTAACTTGGACTTAGAATATTTTAATCATTTTCAATATTCTTTGACTTTGTTCTGTGATACATCTACCTGAAGTTGGACTTGTACATTTTGCTGTGGATGCTAACTTGGACTTAGAATATTTTAATCATTTTAAATATTCTTTGACTTTGTTCTGTGGTACATCTACCTGGAGTTGGACTTATACATTTTAGTCGTTTATACTAACTTGGACTTAGAATATTTCTTACTCACACTTTGAAATATTCTTCGACTTTGTTCTATTTGAAGTTTGACTTAGATAATTTATTGTGAAACTTCCTCACTGAAGACGTTCCAGTTGACTTTGTCGAACGGACTCACTGAGGCTGGGTCTTTATTTTAGCGACTTTGTCGAACGGACTTCCTGAGGAAGGTGATCCATTGGACTTACCCAGAGGAGGCTACCTGAGGGAGAAGAGGATCCACTGGACTTAGCTGAAGAGGCTACCTGAGGGAGAAGAGGATCCATTGGACTTAGCCAGAGGCTACCTGAGGAGGAAGGTGATCCATTGGACTTACCCAGAGGAGGCTACCTGAGGGAGAAGAGGATCCACTGGACTTAGCTGAAGAGGCTACCTGAGGGAGAAGAGGATCCATTGGACTTAGCCAGAGGCTACCTGAGGGAGAAGAGGATCCATTGGACTTAGCCAGAGGCTACCTGAGGGAGAAGAGGATCCACTGGACTTAGCTGAAGAGGCTACCTGAGGGAGAAGACGTTCCAGTTGACTTTGTCGAACGGACTCACTGAGGCTGGGTCTTTATTTCAGCGACTGTCGAACGGACTTCCTTAGGAAGGCGATCCATTGGACTTAGCCAGAGGAGGCTACCTGAGGGAGAAGAGGATCCACTGGACTTAGCTGAAGAGGCTACCTGAGGGAGAAGAGGATCCATTGGACTTAGCCAGAGGAGGCTACCTGAGCGAGAAGAGGATCCATTGGACTGAGCCAGAGGAGGCTACCTGAGCGAGAAGAGGGATCCATTGGACTTAGCTGGAGGAGCCTATCTGAGAGAGAAGAGGATCCACTGGACTTAGCTGAAGAGGCTACCTGAGGGAGAAGAGGATCCATTGGACTTAGCCGGAGGCTACCTGAGGGAGAAGAGGATCCACTGGACTTAGCTGAGGAGGCTACCTGAGGAAGGTGATCCATTGGACTAAGCCGGAAGAGGCTACCTGAGGGAGAAGACGTTCCAGTTGACTTTGTCGAACGGACTCACTGAGGCTGGTCTTTATTTTAGCGACTTTGTCGAACGAACTTCCTTAGGAAGGTGATCCATTGGACTTACCCAGAGGAGGCTACCTGAGGGAGAAGAGGATCCACTGGACTTAGCTGAAGAGGCTACCTGAGGGAGAAGAGGATCCATTGGACTTAGCCAGAGGCTACCTGAGGGAGAAGAGGATCCATTGGACTTAGCCAGAGGCTACCTGAGGGAGAAGAGGATCCACTGGACTTAGCTGAAGAGGCTACCTGAGGGAGAAGACGTTCCAGTTGACTTTGTCGAACGGACTCACTGAGGCTGGGTCTTTATTTCAGCGACTGTCGAACGGACTTCCTTAGGAAGGCGATCCATTGGACTTAGCCAGAGGAGGCTACCTGAGGGAGAAGAGGATCCACTGGACTTAGCTGAAGAGGCTACCTGAGGGAGAAGAGGATCCATTGGACTTAGCCAGAGGAGGCTACCTGAGCGAGAAGAGGATCCATTGGACTTAGCCAGAGGAGGCTACCTGAGCGAGAAGAGGGATCCATTGGACTTAGCTGGAGGAGCCTATCTGAGGGAGAAGAGGATCCACTGGACTTAGCTGAAGAGGCTACCTGAGGGAGAAGAGGATCCATTGGACTTAGCCGGAGGCTACCTGAGGGAGAAGAGGATCCACTGGACTTAGCTGAGGAGGCTACCTGAGGAAGGTGATCCATTGGACTAAGCCGGAAGAGGCTACCTGAGGGAGAAGACGTTCCAGTTGACTTTGTCGAACGGACTCACTGAGGCTGGGTCTTTATTTCAGCGACTTTGTCGAACGGACTTCCTGAGGAAGGTGATCCATTGGACTTAGCCGGAGGAGGCTACCTGAGGGAGAAGAGGATCTACTGGACTTAGCCGGAAGAGGCTACCTGAGGGAGAAGAGGATCCATTGGATTTAGCCGGAGGAGGCTACCTGAGGGAGACGTTCCAGTTGACTTTGTCGAACGGACTCACTGAGGCTGGGTCTTTATTTCAGCGACTTTGTCGAACGGACTTCCTGAGGAAGGTGATCCATTGGACTTAGCTGGAGGAGGCTACCTGAGGGAGAAGACGATTCACTAGACTTAGCCGGAGGAGGCTACCTGAGGGAGAAGAGGATCCACTAGACTTAGCCGAAGGAGGCTACCTGAGGGAGAAGAGGATACACTGGACGTAGCCGGAGGAGATTACCTGCACGAGACAAGATACTGGTCCTTGTATTGAACTGGATGTTCTTTTCATCGCTTTGATTGTGGGCAGCATATCGTTTGTACTCCTTTGTTTGATGTTTGTTATTTGCACTCGTGTTTGCATTACCACTACAGACGAAGAATCTAATGATCAATCTGCTCCAGTACCAACTAGACAAATTCCAGTGTTGCAGTCATCGCTTGGCTTCAGCCTGAGTACAGTGAACTTTGTGTGACTTCAATACAATCCCACAATTGATGTTTATATGTATAGACTTACAGTGAATAACAATAACAACAACAACAACGAACATTGGTTCTATTCCAGTTTATTACAAGGACATTTTGCTATTTGATGTGCACAATTTTGGGCCTATAGACGCCACAATATACCGTTTGTTGTGTAATAAATATAATTGAATGTTCTGTTGAATCTTTGGTGCAAACACATTTAACGTGTGTCACGTAACCCACAAGGTATACAGAGGCCTATTAGTCCACACTACCATAATATCCACAAAAAGGCCTAACTGTTACACTGGTGGCAGCGGTGGGATTGAATTGTTTCCAAAGATGAGCCAGAACTAGAGAATTTACAAGATGGACAAGATGGAACTAGAGGCAGGTCTTCCTTATCCAAGAGATGGAGACGAGTCTGACATGGAGAAGACAGTGTTCCTGAAACCAGAGTCAGCTGAAGTGGAAAATCCTGGAGCTGAAGATGAAACTTTACCTGTGCAACAAGATGGAGAACCATTGTCTGATCAACCAGAGGATCAACTTGGTGTAGGCGCAAG